AAGTGCCTATAAGAGGTGATTGCTTACATATCTAGACAAGTACCTTAGGGCTTTTTTGCTTCCAGGCTCTAGTCACTTTAATATTTTGCAAATCATCTTTATTTGACATAAGTATAAACATATAAATGTTTGGAGTTTGATCCACTTAGAATTAATCAATGAAATGGAAGGTCTTCCGCAATATATATTTTCAAAATTTTATGGTCATGTTGTTTTTTGTAAACTTGAATTAAAAGATATTTGCCAGAAGTTAGTTTTTTTGGTTACACTTTAAAAGCAATAATTTCTAAAAAGGCAAGTTTATTAAGTTGATATTACCCAATATGTTTTGTGAGTTCGTTATACATCACTTTAACTTTATTAACTTTCGGTACCATTTCCCTTACCTTCTTACCATTGCCATTGGACTTTTATATTGTTGCGATACATTTCGAGACTTTAGCGAAATAAAAATATTCAAAGTTTTTTTTAAATTTGAAAGCAGGATAGGCAGTATTATTGATAAAAAAAAAAAAATTTCTCTAGGTAGTTCACCAAAAAAAAGTGAATAAATAAAAAAAAAAATCCTATTTAGTAGAATTTTTTATTTTATTTTAGTATTTTGAAAAAAGTTTTACTTTTGATTACTGAATTTTTGCGATTTTCATAAATACTCTTCATAAATATAGAGCCGCTCCAAGTTGGCTCGGAACCCTGGAGCAAAATTTATGTTGTGAATTTCCCTAAATCTATGTCTTTAATCTTTATAATCACATTTAAAATATGATTGGAATGACTTTTTAATATATAGCAAGTATTTAAGGCGGTCCCTATATCGTCTTGGCCTGGAAAAAGATTGTTCCATTGTTGGAGCGGCCCTTCTCTCATATTGTTTTGCTCAATTATTATTTAAACAATATGATATTAAAAAATAAAAAGGAAACATTAATTACTTTATTATTTTTATTAAAATTTACTTCAAAAAAATAAATTATTCCCATACTTCGGCTAAATCGACTTGAAGTCGACTTACTCGATTTCAAAAACGTCTTAGTCGACTTTAAAAAATGTATTAGTCGATTTAGTCGGTAGTCAAGTTATTGAAAAAATCTTCACAACGCTACGCAAATAATGTTAGTCTAGTTAACTACCTTTCAACTAGAACGGAGCTTTTTAACGAAAGTTATTTTTAAAATGGTTTTTATAACACTTCGAATTTTCTTTCTTTTTTTTTCACTTCAAACATCATAACTCCGCAAAAAATTCATCAATTTTTCATATTATAAGTATTCTCTAGAGGATAAGCGAAGTATTTTATCTAGTTGTACATTTTACTGACTATTTTATCTAGTTGTACATTTTACTGACTATTTTATCTAGTTGTACATTTTACTCACTATTTTATCTAGTTGTACATTTTACTCACTATTTTATCTAGTTGTACATTTTACTCACTATTTTATCTAGTTGTACATTTTACTCACTATTTTATCTAGTTGTACATTTTACTCACTATTTTATCTAGTTGTACATTTTACTGACTATTTTATCTAGTTGTACATTTATATGACTATTTTATCTAGTTGTACATTTATATGACTATTTTATCTAGTTGTACATTTATATGACTATTTTATCTAGTTTTACATTTATATGACTATTTTATCTAGTTGTACATTTTACTGACTATTTTATCTAGTTGTACATTTATATGACTATTTTATCTAGTTGTACATTTATATGACTTTTTTATCTAGTTGTACATTTATATGACTATTTTATCTAGTTGTACATTTTACTGACTATTTATCTAGTTGTACATTTATATGACTGTTTTATCTAGTTGTACATTTATATGACTATTTTATCTAGTTGTACATTTATATGACTGTTTTATCTAGTTGTACATTTATATGACTATTTTATCTAGTTGTACATTTATATGACTATTTTATCTAGTTGTACATTTATATGACTTTTTTATCTAGTTGTACATTTATGACTATTTTACTTAAAAAAAAAAAAGAAAGAAAAAAGAACAACTTTTAACAAAATGTTCACAAAAATTACTCAAAAACTTATTCTTTGCGCGAATCGCACCCATCTGTTTATCTTCGCTTGCTGGAAAAGAAAATACAGGAATTGATTAACTTCCTAAACAATTCGACATTCAATAACACAAGATTTATTAACCATTCTGCACAAACAGTTTTGTAAACGTATAAATGGCATACTTTTTTTTCGGATAAAATGCAGAATGTAAGGTCGTGTAATTTAAGTAGGGTATGATTTAACTTGAATCTCAAAAAATAAAACTGTCCCAACATTAGAAAACTTTAAAAACCTTGGCTCCTTTAACTTCTTTTTAAACTATGTAAACTTTTCTAAAAACTCTTTACTTAAATCATGTTAAGTTACTAAAACTAATAAAAAAAATAATTAGATTTTGTAATGAATAATAGTATATTTATAACTTCTTTTCATCGTGATCTTAAAAAATATTTGTTTTAAAATTTCGGATAGTGTAAGTTTTTTTAGGGCTCTAAAATAGTTTTAGTCCGACAAAACATAGAAATAAACGACATAATAGAGTCTTTAAACCATACCTAACTGGTCTAGAAATCCGAAAAAAACTCCTTTTAGTTCCGTTATTGTAACCTTAAACGCACTTGTTTTTTTAAGGTATATAATACTTTTAAGAAATGATAACCCAATAAATTGAAGTGATGTTTTCTGTATTTTTTATGTTTATTTATACCGTGGTTATAATTTATTAGTTTAGAGTAAAAAAAAATGGTATGTATATTATAAAGGAGGTGGAGGGTGATGAGAAAATAAAATTTCAATTTTTTGAAATAAATTTTAAACGTACTTTGATAAAAAAACACGTAACACTCGTTTATTAAGAGATTTTTTATTAAAGTCTTTTGCATTTTTATCACTCAACAGCCTGTTAGCGTTAGAATATTTCATTTGAATCCTTATTTTATTTTGAATAAAAAACGCAACTACAATTTGATTCAAAATTCAGCAATTTTCAATTGATCCAACTTTGTCAAAATATCATATTTTAATTGGTAAAAGAGCTGTTTTGTCAAAAACAAAATGGCAAGTCATTGGAATGCATAAAATGGAAATAAGCAATTGAGAAATTGGCAGACGCCTAAATATTTCTGAATTCAATATTCGTTCAACAATCAAAAATTATTTCTCAACTGGTCGTGTTAACCTTGTACTGGGCGTCTGAAAAAAACTGAGAGCACGCGACGAAAACATGCTTCACACGCAAAGGAGACGTAACCTTGAATGCAGAAATCAATAGTTTGCTAGCAGACAAAACAATTAGTCAAATAGCCATAAGTTATTACGCAAGAAAGAACTAAATTCGTTTCATAGTGTAAGAAAGACTTTGTTGACGTTAACCGATCGCCAAAGGCAAAAAAAAAATGGTGCAAAGAGCGTTTAAATTATTCAGGGAAACAATGGAAAATGATTATCTTTAGTGATGAATCAAATTTCAAAATTGTTAACAGAAAAACAAGAGAGGTTTGTTCGTCGCAAAAATACGGAAAAGTATTTGAAGCTACACCTACTAAGCCGTGTTCAGAAAGGCGGTGGTTCCGTCGGCATACGGGGATGTATACCAGGCTCAGGCGTTGGTTGTCAAAAATTATACTAAAGAAGATTAAAACAGTATGAGTATCGTGACATTTTGGAAATATGTCACGCTTATCCCTAATCGTTATTTGTTCCAGGTTGATCAAAATTGGTCATTTCAACAAGACAATGCTCCATGCTATACAGCACATTCAATCACTGATTATTTTCTTAAAAGGAATATTCGATTTATGTCTTGGCAAGCACGATCACCAGACTTAAACTCAATCGAAAATTTATGGAGCTAAATGGATTATTAACCAATAAAAAAACAAATAACTAGTCACGAAACGCTCAAACAAGAACTGACCAAACTGTGGCTTGAAATTCCAATCAAGATGATTGTAAACTTATTTGAATCAATGCCAAGGCGAATACAAGCACGTGTTAAAAACATATCCCGTATTAATATATTTCAATTAAAAGGAGTTGTAGGGGCGTTTAAATTTCTATGTACTTTTTATCTTTTGATAACTTGAATTTGTTATTTAATTTCAGAAAGGTTTTTATGTTTTTTTTTTTATTCAAAGTTGTTTTTTTCTTAATTAATAATCGGCAATGGAAAGTGCGTTTAAACTTTCTGTACAAGATGTATTAGATACTCATATGCTAATCCCAGATAAAATCTCGAACTCATATGCTAATCCCAGATAAAATCTCGAACTCATATGCTAATCCCACATAAAGTCTCGAACTCATATCTAATCCCACATAAAATATCGAACTCATATGCGAATCCCACATAAAATCTCGAACTCATATCTAATCCCACATAAAATATCGAACTCATATGCGAATCCCACATAAAATCTCGAACTCATATGCGAATCCCACATAAAATCTCGAACTCATATGCTAATCCCACATAAAATCTCGAACTCATATGCGAATCCCACATAAAATCTCGAACTCATATGCGAATCCCACATAAAATCTCGAACTCATATGCTAATACCACATAAAATCTCTAAATGATATGCGAATCCCACATAAAATCTCGAACTCATATGCGAATTCCACATAAAATCTCGAACTCATATGCTAATACCACATAAAATCTCTAAATGATATGCGAATCCCACATAAAATCTCGAACTCATATGCGAATCCCACATAAAATCTCGAACTCATATGCTAATCTCCCTTTTATCGATTTACCATAAATTATCGGTAAAATCTTATGATAAATTATATAGAAAATATACATGTATTTATTATTATCTTTGCAAAACATCAAAAAACGACCATGAACTGAATTGCAACATCATGAACTGGATTGCAACATCATTATAACTAAATCATTAGAATATTTATATGTAAAAAAAATTTTTAAATTTTTATTAAACATTATATTAGAAAAAAACTTATATATTACATAATTTATTTCAATTATTTTATTTACAAGAATGTATTTACAAATAAAATTTATCAGTTTTAAGTAATATACACGTCGCAAGTCCAAATCAACCATTTTGGCAGATATTCTTATTTAACACGAAACAATTAACAATGTAAAATAGCAATCATTCGTATATAGTAGTCAACTGCAACATGCACAATATAGTTACCATAGCGCAGTCGAATCACTAAACACTAATAAAATGAAAAAAAAGTGCTAAAGTTGAACTTTGGTTTACACAAGTTGTAAAAAGAGATGTTTGAGTAATCTTGATTCATATGTTACTGTATTTTTCCCTAACTGCTTAGGTTCTTGTTCAAGAGGTTGCTCAATATGGGTGGCTACATCACGACCGTACACTAAAATAAAAGTTTTATTAGGCATTTTTAATATTGGAATAAGCATAACACAAATAAATGTAGAGATTTTTGTTATTTAGTTTATTAATGTTGAGTGTTAAACAAAAAATGTGTTTAAAGAAAAAAAAGAGTATTTAAATAAAAAGTTAATTTTTATTAAAATTTGAGAAATGTAACTCGAGTAGCAAAAAGTTATATGGTAACTTGATATTGATATTGCGTCAATGTATACGATAATCGCATTATTGGTCTAATATTGTTCAACTGCATCACGCTAGTATGAAAGCTCTGATTAAAATTAAAAGTGAGTTGAATCTGATATTAGCATAGTTTTTGAACTTTTTTTAGGTTTTGTTTCTAAAAACTTTGTGATTTAAATCGTCGAAATAAATGTAACAAGTGACAGTGACACTGAAGCATGTTGTTGAAATATATGTAACAAACGACATATATGTAACAAACGACAGTGACACTGAAGCATGTTGTTGAAATATATGAAATAAACACTGAAGCATGTTATTTAAATAGTGGCAATGAAGCATGTTATTTAAATAGTGACAATGAAGCATGCTGTTTAAATAGTGACAGTCAGGTATGTTGTTAAAGTAATGACTATGAAGCATACTGTTAATTTTTAAATTTAATAATTTCAATGAAGCATGTTGTTTAAATAGTGACAATGAAGCATGTTTTTTAAATATTGTATAATACATTTTCAAGATGAACAAAATTTCGTATATTATAATGGATAGTAGTTGTATTTACTTTGTAATTACTTTGTAAAATATTTTCGAAACGTTAAAACAAACATTAATGTATAGTTTTTACATATCTTGGAGACATAAAAACATTTTTTTCTATGTAAATTTATTTTATAAAATTTAACAAAAAATAAATTTACCTATATATGTAAATTTACTTTTTGTTAGATTGTTTCTTTAATTTAATCATTTTATTGTTAACTCTTTAAAAAATGGGTGTAGTTGTTATATTTTCTTTTTGTAATTTATATTTGAGTTTTTATTTATGAAATAAATTATAAAATATAGAAATCTCTGTTCAATTATAAAATATAGAAATCTCTGTTCAATTTTTTAGTTCCAAAATTGATGGTTGCGCATGTGTACGCATTTCCTCGGTGCTAGAGATGAACTAGATACCTAACTAAGGTGATTAAGGCACCTAGGTTAAAGCAGTAACTAGTTTATTTGCTCTGTGAAGCAAACATTCCTGTCAATATTGGAGTACAGTGGTAAACAAATGTTGACAAAAATGGTTATTTGTGTTACAGGATTTAGAAAACAATAGAAACTTCTTCACTGAAGTAGCTGTCCGACCTTGAAAAATTAAACATTAGTAAAATAGACTGATATATCTAGCAACGTACTAAAACTATCATTATTAGGTACCCTGCAAATTTTTTTTCTCTAAAAAACTAAAGCGCTTTTAAAAAACGCTTAAGATTGGTAAACAGAAACAAAATATTTTGATTAATTGAGATAAAATGAAAAAAAAATTTATTACATATTCCAAAAACTTTATATGAGGATTATTTATGAAAGAAAAAAAGTTAACACAAAATATATTTTTTGTTATTTCTTTAACTTAAACATAAATTAAGAAAATGAAATTACAACAAGATGCTTTAAGAAATCTGCATAAAACAGAATGATACTTACTTTCACAATGCTCAAGAAATTGCAATATATCTTGCTTTATTGTGTCACGCAACATAATCATTTGCTTTGCCTATATAAATTCGTCAAACAAAATGATTATTCAATGAATATAACAAAGCACTCAAAAAAAAAAATTATTATAGAGTGGTTGTACTTACCATATTCTCAATAAGCGATAAAAAACATCGTTTAGCATAAAACCATGTGTCAGTACCAAGCTAGTTATTAAAAATGTATGAGAGAAAAATATGAAAATTTATACAACGACTTTACAATAATAAAAAATTAGTTAATTTAACTTTTATGGCACCTGTAATAAAAACATTCTTAAGTATCTTACCTTTTTGTTGTATGGCACATGCAATAAAAACATCTTACCTTTTTGTTGTATGGCACATGCAATAAAAACAAATTACCTTTTTGTTGTATGGCACATGCAATAAAAACATCTTACCTTTTTGTTGTATGGCACATGCAATAAAAACATCTTACCTTTTTGTTGTATGGTTCTAAGCTTTTTATTATTCTTGAAACACCAAACTCATAGTTTCCTTTAGAACAGTAAAGTGTGCTAAAAATAAAAATTAAGAAGTGAAAAATTTATGATTAACAAAAATTATAAAAATAATTAAATGTTGCAACAATATTTAACAATGTAAACTTGCAAATAATAGTTTGCAAATAATGAAAATAGTTAAATGCAATGCTTGTTGAAATAAAATCAAAAGTAAAATATTAAAACATAAAAAAATAAAAATAACTCAACTGTTACAAAAACCTAAAGTATGAAACTAAAGTAAAGCGTGTTTTAAAATGCACAAAATTTTTCAGTCATTCAATGCAAGATTTTTCAGTCATTCAATACAAAATTTTTCAGCCATTCGATACAATATTTTTCATGGTGGTTATTAATCTGGTTAGGGGCCATCCATATAATATGTGTTTACTGAGGGGGCTATCCCAATTTGAGTAATTTACGTACGAGTGTGTATGGATAATGGGGGGATGAAGAAAGGGGAGGGTTCAACAAATGTATGTATGCAAACGCAAATAATTGAGGCGGCAGTTCACGTTCACTTTACCATTAATGACCTGTTAAGGTTATAAAGGTTGAACAGGTCAAAAAAAAAATGTGATTACGTGAATGGAAAAAAAGGACAAAAATAATTTTAAATAAGTTAACATTAATGTTAATTTATTTCTAGAAATTAAACTTACAAATGATTAAAAATTTAATAAGATTAAAACCACACTTTTAAACAATTAAAGTGAATCGAATTTTTTCTAAATAAAACCTTCATAATGCAGAAGCTTATAAAACAATATAGACATTTTAATTAAAAAAGTTATTTACATCAACAAAGAAATATTTGAAAAAGCAAACCAGATTTTTTAAGAGAATAGATAAGACTGATAGATACAACTGACTGTATGCTGCTGTGTCCAAATCTATGTCTCAGAATTCGAAATCAGTCCAGCAGAAGGAAGCAAGTTGTTTGCGGGATGCAATTAAAAGTGATGACAAAACATATGATTTAGTAATAGATGACCTTTAATTTCTACCAATTCTAGCAGCAAAACTGAAACAAAACTACAGAAGTAGCTGCAGAGACCATTAGGCAACAATCAACAGACAAGGCATCCATTACTGCTACTGTTACTGACGAACGTACCAAAACCAGTTCTGAGAAGGCAGTAGAAATAGTTAAGCCCAAAGCAGAAGAACCAAAACAAAAAAATGTAAATTTAGACATCTCACAACTAAATGAAAAACTATTAGCTTTGTATAGAATTTGAGATGATGGACTGATGACTAAAGACCTGAAGTTGAAAATGAATACTATCAAAATGGATATTAAAAAGAAAAAGAATCAACTGAAAAGGTTTGAAAGTGAGACTGATCCTCAACACAAGCATTATAGTGAAATGAAGCACACTCTGCAGGAGATAACTGATGAAATGCCACATATGGAGTTAAAATCAAATGTGATAAGGTTGACAAATCAGCAGTTATAGTAGATCAAACAGATCATGATTTGCAAAAATTACTGGTGACACAAGGATACAGCTTGTCACATTCAGCAACATATCTACATATCTACAACATATATGAAAATCCTTGCATTCGGAAACCACTGCAAGTTGCCATGGCTAGGTTTACAGCATGGAACCTTGATGCATGTTTGACAGGTACCAATGCACCACACTATTTGGCGTAAAATACAGTGGAGAGGTGTATGGCACCAATTAATCAAAAATTAATGGCTTTGACACAATGTCATGAACACTTTGGTTCATATTTTGATGCCTCTGGAAAAACAATGGATGCAGAATTTAAGAAGCAAAATTTTGCAGATGCACATGTTATTGTTGGGTGGGGGGTGTTCAAATGTAAAGATTTTTGTATACATAGTATATGGATGGCACTTAGGCATTTAGTTAATTTAACTTTAAATTACTATTATTTAAAATTTATTTCTAATCCTAATAATTTCTTGCATCTTTATGTCATTGCAAGAAATTGATGCAAAATTGCTATGGCACTTCATTATTTTCAGAACAAATTTTGTAATTTATATCAAAAGTTAGATTATAAAGACTTTCGAAAAATCTGCAACAGTATAAAAATAGTTTTTTTCCTGAAAACTCGTTCACTCGAAAACTCTTGAGATCACTCGTTCAACTAAACCTGGCATGCTGATCCTCTTCGTAAGTTGACTTCAAATGGTGTATCTGGCAAAAATTATACAAATATTTTTCTAAACACAGTATTAAAGTTGTCCTTATTAAACAACAATCTCTTATTTTCATTTATATTTAAAGTACTTCAAAAGTTCCATACTTAGTCCTGTGTTATTTCACATTTACCACAACGATAATTTTGATAATCTTACCTCTTAGGTGGCAACTGATGTTCAGTCTTGACTAAAAAATATCATGTTCATACTTACCATTTAAAATATCATTTTTGGCAAAGCAAGAGTTGGTTCTTCTAATGAGGCTTTTTCTCTCCTAGACAAGGATTAAAAGTGCATTTCAAATATTATTGAATCTACATTAGCTGCCAAGCTTTTTGCCAAGTTTTATTGATGTAAGATTGAATATCTTTTATATTGATGTAAGATTGAATATCTTTTATATTGATGTAAGATTGAATATCTTTTATATTGATGTAAGATTGAATATCTTTCTTCATTGATGTAAGATTGAATATCTTTCTTATTGATGTAAGATTGAATATCTTTCATATTGATGTAAGAACCTATATTTTTCTTCATTGATGTAAGATTGAATATCTTTCTTATTGATGTAAGATTGAATACCTTTCTTATTGATGTAAGATTGAATATCTTTTTTATTGATGTAAGATTGAATATCTTTCTTATTGATGTAAGATTGAATACCTTCCTTATTGATGTAAGATTAAATATCTTTCTTATTGATGTAAGATTGAATATCTTTCTTTTTGATGTAAGATTGAATATCTTTCTTATTGATGTAAGATTGAATATCTTTCTTATTGATGTAAGATTGAATATCTTTCTTATTGATGTAAGATTAAATATCTTTTTTATTGATGTAAGATTGAATATCTTTCTTATTGATGTAAGATTGAATACCTTCCTTATTGATGTAAGATTGAATATCTTTCTTATTGATGTAAGATTGAATATCTTTCTTATTGATGTAAGATTGAATATCTTTCTTATTGATGTAAGATTGAATATTTTTTTTATTGATGTAAGATTGAATATCTTTCTTATTGATGTAAGATTGGTGTAAGATTCTCTTTTTTTTTTAAAAACTAAAGTGCTTGCTGTTCAACCGAGACAATTGTTCCATCAACCGAGACGCAGTCTTATGTATTTTCTTGTTTGGCAATGTTGCATCTTTTTACTGTAACTGTTACTTCAAGTTCAATAACTTTTATTTGTTTAATTTTCTTTAAATATCAGTGATTTGGATTTCTCCACTGAACGCTGATTTATTATCCGAAATTTAAATTAATATGCTGTCAACGTAAAATCTTTGCATGAATTCAAAAACATTTATGATGGACTACAGATGCAAAAAATCTGAACGAATTAAAAGCTATCAAAGAAAACTTCAATTAAAACACAAAAATGCTGTCTAAGTGTGGAATTCACACTATTTGGTGTTTCTATCTGCTACAGCATTAAATTGAAATATAATTTATAATAATATAATTTAATTATACTTCTTTTTTTTTTGAACTATAATTTTTCATCATCATAATTCAGCATGATATGAAAATAGAACCAGGATTTCAGACTGCAATGCAAAAAGAATTATGTGAGTTTCAGATATTACAGTTTAAAAGTAAGTTGTTTATACTTATTCATATTTACATGTGTATTATGTACATTTATTCAATTCAAAAAACTATTTTATTAGTGATTTTAACTCAAACTATATTTGTTTCTAGATTAAGCATTCCAAAAAAAAAAAGTAATATTTAGAAATTCTTTGAAAAACTAAATAATTACAAGTTTAATTATGACAATATTTTAACAAACAATAGCCATACCAAAACCAAATATGAAGAATCTTGATAGAACATTTGAAAAATAATGTTTAATAACAACAATAACAACTAATTATTATTTAACTGAAAATCAAAAATACAGCTCAAACAATATATAGAAATTAAAGTTTGATTCAAACTTAAAAATGTTTGCTTGCAAGCCTGTTTAATCTCTTAATGTTTTAGCTAATGAAAGAGATCAGAAATTTATTATAAATGAACAACAAATGTCAAGTATACATCTCTATTTAGACAGCAAAAATGTCCAATGGTATATGAAAATGTAAAGAAGGAAAAGATTTTTTGAAGTAAACCCAGTAAATTTTACATAAAATCTTTAAAAAAGTCAAAACAATGATTTGTTCATCATCGAGTCATCATTAGTCTTACACTTACATCAATTTAAATTTTAATTTGATAAGTTTGCTCATGCAAATCACTTGCACATGAATTACTGGGGCACAGTAGGTATGGCAATAAACCTAAACTTTTATCAAATTAAATTTTTTAAATTTAAGCTTAAGCAAAGCACTCATCATGCTTTAATAACAATGAAAACAACATTTTTTTAGCTGCTAAAGAAGATGATGAAATTAATTCGGAATTGCTCTGCAATAATATAATCCAGCTAGCTAATATTAAAACAGTTTAAACTAAGAAGACAAATGAACTTTAAAAGCAATAATTGCCTTAGCATCACACATGCACAAAACCGGCCTCTTTGTTGTTATCAAAGGCAGACTTCATTGATAAAAAAGGTTTATGGTGATTCTCCATATAATGTAAGTAAATATAAGTAACTTCATACCCTATAACCAAATTCACAATACACAAGTGATAAATTTTCTTTTCAGGATCATCATATGAAACATTTTCCTAAAAACAATTATTGTAATTCAAACAGACTATTTAATTATTCAAAGGTAAATTGTACTAAATGTATATAATGTCTTTTTGAAGAATAAATTTAAAATAACAAAAACATTTTAAGATAAGCAAAACAGATATCCTAGATTTGACATTTCACACTTAAAGAAATCTTAGTTTTTCACACTGAGAAATTATTTAAAGATAATTGAATTATGATTACCTCCTCTTTTTCAATTTTTCTCATCATTTCTTCTGCCTACAAAATATTTTTTGATAAATAATTTAACTACTAATTATAGTTAGAAATAAATTAAGTTATAAATAAATTAATAACCTCATCATTAGCACTCGTCATTATATATGAGACACAGAGATTGGCAAGTACGATTGCGCTAACATTCAAAAGCTAAAAAAAAATTTAACAAAAAATTTTAATAAAATATTACAAAAAAAAAATAAAAAATGAATGGACTGCTCTTTTTAACATTCTACTATAATATATCTTATATATACGGTATAGTGTAAAACTACCTTACTATATAAAATAATCTAGTTGTAAATGTAGCTTGTTTTTTTTCAACCATAAAATGCATAAGGAATCAGAAAAAAAACTCAAAAAGTATGTTACATTGTGTTATTGATTTAATGGCAGCATATTAAATGTAAAACTTATTTTTTTCAAGAACATTTTTAGTTATTGACTATATTTGAGCTATGCTTATTTAATGACTCAAAGGTAACAAATAGCCAAAATGGCTGTTAAAAAAAAAAAACGTTTTATTTGATAAAAAAAAAAAAAATATTTAAATAATATTTAATTAGAAATATATCTGTAACAAATAAATTTCTGGAAACTATATAATTCTTGGATTGTTAAAAACTTATATCTAACACGGCTGTTTCACTCAATATAAAAGTGAGCCTGACGTCACAGGAATTTTTGTGTTTTAAAAAAAAAATATTTCCGCATAAAAAGTATAAAAATTCACTAACTTTAAAATAATATAACTTTTTCTATAAACGCTTTCATTCTCAAATTAAAAATAAAAGAACTAGGTTTGGTCAAGAAGCGGGAGCAATCGCTCTTCTGTGCTGATCAGGGAAATTTATTTGCAAAAAGCTGGCGTTTTGAGAACATTTCAAAAAGCAAAAAAAAAAAAAAAAATGCGCAAAAGATTAATTGGACCGATAAGAGACAATTACAAAAAAACTTAAGCAAAAATAATTAGATTTAGTAAACCAATATCTAGAAACTTTTCTTTATATCTTAACTTTATATCTTTAATAACTTGCTATATATATTTGTGTTCTGTTGTGACCTCAGGCGCAGTGCTTGTTCATCCGTGAATTACTTTGTATGCATAGTTTGTGTTTAGTAACCAGAAACTTTTTAAATGTTTGTTACATAATTAGTTTTATTAACTTTAATGATTATTAATAACTTTATTGAAAACGCAATTATTTTTGTAAGATTATATCGATAAAAAACAGATACACTGTATTTTTTTTCACAAAATTACATTTACATAAAAAATACATACTCATTAAATAAAAAATAAGTATGTACTAATGAAATCTTTAATTTTATTAGTACATACTTATACCCAACCAAGCCTGAAGAACTATCTTTCTTTGTTTAATAAATATTTACATTAGACGAAATAAAAATAAACATTTTAAAAATATTTTAAATGATTTGGGATCACCTTTGTGTTTTTGGCAATTTTTACGAAAAACCTATCTTAGGCCAACCAAGATTTGATAACATAGCTACATGGTTGATGGTTGAAATTTGGAACATTTATCCATGAATGTCTATTCTAACTGATTTTCGGTGATCGTAAATAATTTTTTTGGCAAAAATTAGTTTTTAATGCATTTATATTTTTGTTTTTATAACTTTTATATGTAAAATATAATTTTTTGTAACGATCACCAAATTAACAAATTTTCAATCCTTTATGCACACAAAAATCCAAATATTTTTATTTATACCTCTAGCTATGTTACTAAATGTCTTTAAACTTGGCTGGTTTACAACATTTTGTCTATTTTTATGCATATATTTTTGTCTACATTTTAAAACAATTATGTGACCTTTAATATTTACAAGTAAAAAAGTTTAATTTACAAGTAAAAAAGTAGTGATTTGCTTTACTGACATAAACCTTGCATGTTTCAGTTATGAATCAAGTTTAAGTAAATTTATTTTTAAGTTAAAGTGGTCTTACAATGTGTATATTTAATAATAATTATCTAAAATTATTTTTTAATTTTTTTTTGATAAAAAGTGACAACAAATTACAAAAATTTAGCCAAGCTCATCATTTAGCGCATTTTATCTAAATCCGAAGTTTTCAATCATTCATTTAATGTCATATGGTAAAACATTTTATTGGTGTTACTATTCTTTTTACAGAACAAAATTATCTCTAATATTTAAAAAATTTTAAAAAGTTCTAGTAACACCTATTAAGTGGTTATTTTTAAAAAAAAAACAAGAAGCTGTAAAGCTCACTTTGAAACAGCAGTGCTAAATATACTTCTTGTTTGCACTTTAAATATTTTAACAAAATTTAAACATGAATGTAAAGAAAATTAAAAAAAAAATTTGGGTTTTTATTTTAAGGCCAGTTAATCTTATGTTAAGATTGATTGGCAACAAAATTTAATGTGTGAGGTGAATGCGCAAAAATATAATTCTTAAAACTAAAACTTACATTATCATAATGTTTTTTAACAACAGGTTCATAAAATCCAATAGCTTCTTTGTATTTATTCTAGAAAAAAATATTTTATTTATAGTTATGTAATTATTTACAAAGTACATGAATATATATCTTTAAACAATTTTAAAAATGTATTCTACAAAAAAGAGTGCTCAATGTTCTTAAAAGAACAGAGCAATTATAAATTAGGAGAAAATCACTTAACAAATTTCTGATGAGTCTTTGTTGATAAAACACAGTGTAAAATGAAAAAAATATTTGTTAAGTGATTTTCTACTAATATATATGTATATATATATATATATATATATATATATATATATATATATATATATATATATATATATATATATATATATATATATACATGTATATGTGTATGTGTATGTATATATATATATATATATATATATATATATATATATATATATATATTAATGATGTGGTGCATAGCCTGTTTGGATCCGGGAACCTGGTAATTCAGCTGTTTTCCCAGATCAGCCATTTTGTTACAGTACCCGGCACCCGGTGTCTTAACAGAAATTTTTAATAAACATAAACCTTAAGTGCTGTTACTATTTGTTTAAATGGTACTATTTGTTTAAATTATGTCAAAATAATATTAACAACATTGCATTTAGTTTAAACTTTAACCAATAAACTTCTTGATATAAGAGTGTTATAGAGTGGATAACCACTAAATCCTATTTACTTAATACAGACATGTCTCAATTAAAAATTTTTTTTGAATATATTTTTGCAAAACAATCAGAAAAAATTAAAAAAAAGAAACTGATTTATACGGATATAAAAATATTAACACAAAATGAAATAATTAGAATACACGAATAAAAAAAAAAAAAGGAAAAAATAATACTTGTATTGCTTTGTTTTATTGGGAGAAAATATTTTCACTAGAGAATTTTTAGTAATTAAACTTTGAATGAATGAGTTTGATACTTTGATTTAATTGAGTTGAGTAACTCACTTTTAAATACAGTTTTCGTTTACAATAACTAAAGTTTTACAATAGTTTGAACTAAATAACTGTTTACAATAAACATGTAAGATTTCTTACATGTTTATTGTAAACATAAAGATTTATTTAAAAATTATAATATATTTACTATATAAATATATACATCTAATTAGATATAGTTATTATATCAATATATCTCTTATTCTTTTAATTTTATAGCATAACTTTTGATTAATTAGTGCATATTAGAAATTAAATAGTAATAAATTACAAAAAAATAAATATTTTATATGGAGGTCTTTAAACAGAAAGAAACCAAGGGCCATCTGTATGGTTTTGAAAACATGGTTTTCTTTCTGTTTAATATTAACTAAATTGAGTTATTGGCGCTATTATCTTGTAGAGAATTTCCAAATTTATATATTTATAAAAACCTGCATTAACCTATTGTCAGTAAGTAGAAAGAGATCAAGAAAAAAGTGAAATTTTGTATCCAGAATACTGTAAAAAACAGAAAAAAACAAACATATTCCCAAAACCATACATATGGGGCTTAGTTCTTTTGCGTTTAAAGGCAATAGATATAACCAAAATTATAAAAAAAAAATTAGTTAGCTGGAACAGCTTTTTCGAATTAGAGTTAATTTTAATTTTATAGCTCTTGATGTTTTTGACATTAACGACATCAGATTGCTGTCTGGTATTGTTAATAATTAGTTATTCCAAATATCAACAATTTTGAGTGAGAAAGAATATTTATGGACTACAAGTTTCCACTTTAGTTTGTGTAATTTGAACTTGTGAATTCGAGTGTAAATATTTTTATCAAAAAAGAAACTTTATATATTCAAAAACACTTATTAGCACAAATTAATCAGCTTTATTTTGTGAATACAATTGAGCACTAGAGATTTCACAAGCTTTTAATTCAAATTTTTGAAATGGACATGGTGCCGGGTACCCAGACTTGATATTTTCTTTCAGACAACCAGAATTGGTTTGTCAAACAAAACAGAAATGTTCTAACAAAAGTTTGACTCAAACATTAACATTGTTTGTCTGAAATCTAACTGCCACAGGTGGTATAATACCAATAAGATAATTAATGGTATTGTTATGTTTATAATTAGTTCAAGTTTGTGATTGTGAAGTTAAACTTTTTGGTATTTCAATAAATACTTTGGTACAATCAATAATATAGACACAGTCTTTGACCTTTTTTTAAAACTTTATAAGATGGCTACTCCTTAATAGTCCAGTTAGGTTTTGGTATGAAATATATTTATTATGATCTAGTCTTGGACAATTTTTTTAAGTTTAATAACTTTATTAGATTTCTTGATCAATTTATTTTTGTATTGAATTAACTGAAAGTTAAGAGTTTCTATTTCTGCATTATAAGTATCATGCTAAAAAAATTTAGAAGTAGGGGGCATCCATAAAGTACGTACGCAGTAAAACCACTAATTTAGGACTCCCCCACCCCCTTGTACAAACATGTACGCTATTGCAGGTCCCCCCTTTACCCCCGTGTATGTACGCATAATTTTTTTTTTTAAATGAACTCGATTTTTTTTTTATCCTCATTGATTATAAAGATTATTAAAAAAAAATTCAGACTGAAGTCAGAGAAAAAAATCAACTCTGATTTGTTACACACGTGAAAGTTCAATGTTAAAAAAAAAATACCCCCTACCCCCATACCTGCGTACATACTTTATAGATGGCCCCATAGCTGAATCATTTAATGGATTTATGTCAATATTTATATTATTGTTATAGTTATCCAGCGCTATATTACTTGATTTTTTATATGACAGTATTAAGTTTTTGAAAGATGGTTTTTTACATAAAACTTTATTACAATCTTTTCTCTTTCTTTTTTTAATCAAACTAGAAATCGGAGCAGCTCTAAGGTGGATAAATACAGATGGACTCCAGTCAATGTCAGATGGGTCATCAGAAGGTTTTTCTAAAATATAATAAGTTCTTTTTAATATTAAGGTTATTTAATTAAATTAATAAATGTACCAAATATTATAAATTACTAATTTAAAGAATCTTATAAACGTATTACTAAGTATATAGTTTTATTAGCTAACCACATTCTTTAAAGAACATACCTGATACAAAATGTACACTGCATACTCGTTCTTTACTAATTTTTTCACTTTCCCAACTGTCCCAATACTTATGATTAATAGCTTTAATTCAGTCTATACGTCTTCTTTTCTTAAAAAGCGATTTTCCTGATGGCAATTTATGAAACTTCAACCCACATTCATTTTTAAATTTGTTTAAGTAACCACCAACTGCACAACAACTAGTTATAATAATTTATTTCTTGATAAATCAGTGAATCAGTGGGTTAATAAAAACCAGTGAGTAAATTTCTCAATGTTTTTACTGAAATTTCTGATTATTTATTCTTCTACCTACAAATTTGCGTGCGCATCTTTTTTTGAAAACGAGAATGTAAACATTTGAAACTCATATATATATATATATATATATATATATATATATATATATATATATATATATATATATATATATATATATATATATATATATATATACATATATATACACATATATATATATATATATATATATATATATATATATATATATATATATATATATATATATATAAAATTGAAACATTATACAAGTAACGACTTTGCCCTCTTTTGGTATAAATAATAAAAATAATACCAGTAAGAAAAAAACTTATGTGAGTGAAAAAATAATAATTATAAAAAAAATCATGACATTTTGCAAAAATGATGCACAATTTTTTTACAAAGACAACTCTCCTTTAACCCAATGACCATTAATATCTTTGATTCCAGAGAATAAGGGTGGTTGATGAGAATAAGGACTATTTTTAAGGCTGTTGTCATCAAAGAAGCCTCGCTTAAAATGCAACTTGAAATTTATTTTATTTCTTTAGACAAATTTTTTTACTCAAGTAAATTCCTTCTGTCATAATGTAGTTTTTAGTAATAATTGCATGGTCATTCTGTAATAATTAAATTTTTTTTATCCTTTTAGTGTACGCCTGTATGGATCATTTGTCTAAGACCATCATATGGATCGGTTATTTCATATTGCTACTATCATATAGCTAGGTTGAAATTTTTACAGTTTTAAACTTTAGAAGATTTTAAGAAGTCTTTATAATTACTGTGTCGAAATGAAATATAAATAAATCTAGCACATGAGAGTTTGAATTGGTAGAGAAAACAAAAAAAAATGCCAGCAGCCACATTGACCTCTAATATCAAAAATATGAGTTCCCCCTTGGTAAATCAATGGGTCAGTCCGGCATGGATTTTTCAGATGATATAATATTGCCTTGATCTCAAATGCAAGTTTAATCATATTAGATTGTCCAGGTCCCTGAAATTATATATCACGTTGAAAGATGTAGCCCTTGATAGAAAATTTTATATTTAGTATTTATATTTAGTATTTATATTTATATACAATATATATTTACTATTTATATTTATAACTATACTTATAGATAATTACTAAATTTATACTTATAGCTAATTTAAATTAAAATAAAATCACTAAATTTTATTAATAATTAACAATTAATAATTATGATATATAAAATAAAACAGTTAATATTTTCTAATTAAACTTACGTGTGTAAAGTGAACTACATTTTTGAATACTATAAAAATGTAAAATTTCTGAATGCAATAATTTTAATATAATGTCCATTTAAATACAAAAAAAAGTTTTTTTTATTGGATGTAATAGTTAGATTTCAACTTAATCATCTCAATTAACTGGAATATGTTTTAAAGGTGAGGTTTTACCTTGGTCAATCTGCCCAAAAGAAATAAAAGAAATCCTGCTTATAGTCATGTGTTTAGAGCTCATGTGCAAAGAAATTTATTTATTTACTTAATAACTAATACATTTAAATTCATATTAAGTCTAGCTAATACTTGAAGAAAATATAAACATGAAAACGTTTGTAAATAAGTATCATACATGATAATAGGTAAATAGAAAAGATTTTATTTATTTGCAAGTTTTAGTTAAATTAACATCAAATTTTTTTTGTGTAAATTTAACTAAAACTTACAAATAAAAATAAATAAATCATATTAACATTTTATGTGTAACTATTGTAATTATTGTTATTATTGTAATTATTAAAAACCTGCAAGAATAATAACTATTTAAAACCTGCATAAATAGAACGTGTGCAACATTCAGTTTCCAAACTTCATTTTCATTGCAAAATTCAACCGATTTTCGAAAGATCTACATAATCATATCTAATTAGTTTTTAAAAATTATTTACTTGAATATTTGCATGTTTGTATAAAAAAATTTCATTAACTTGTATTTATTTTTAATAAAAACAAATACAAAAATAATATAAAAACAAATACAAAATAAAAATATTACCTTCTCTACTGCAAGATAGTTTTCACGATCCCAATAAATTTTAGCTTGTGCCATAAGTACAGAAATATACCTTAACAAAAATTTAAAAAAATCTAAAAATTATACTAATACACAATAATTGGATACTTGAAATGAATGGATACTTGAAACGAATGGATACTTAAAAACCTAAAATAATTTTTGCTTTCACAACAAAACACTGGTAATTAGAGTTTATACTTTTGCAATAAGTTATATTTTCTATTTGTTAACTTTTTAAAAAACAAAGTCATTATTAGTTCGAAAGTTGCAATTACAAATTTAAGAAATATGTATATAAAAATATTTAACACTTGACAATTCAATAATACAAACATCGAGAAAAAAAAGAAATTAGTTTATATTAAACATTTAAAAAATGAAATATTGAATTTAGTTATTTAATATTAAAAAAACTCTATAATATAATTACATATTTAAAAAATGCATCAATGAAAACAAGACCTGAAAATGATGACTAAAGTTAATAGTTTAGATAATTAATTTTAATGATTAGTTTCAGCTGTTATGAGTTCAAATTAATTGAAATAAGATTATTTTGGACTTTAATTTTTTATTTGCATTTTTTAATAAAGGTCTAATATTTATTTTAAAGAAAATTTCAATGATTTTTACCTCTCAAGACATTCATCATAATCATTGACAGCTTTCTTTACAGCTTCTTCATTATTGTTTTGACGAGCCTCTTGCACCTGTATTGAAAAATATTTCTTATTAACCAGTCATTTTAAAATGAAACCAGCTGTTATGTAAAATAGAAGTTGTTAAGTAATAAAACCATAAAAAAAGTAAATAAAATAAAGTAAGAAAACCAGACATTATATAAAAAAAGTTACAAATATAACCTGTTTTGTCAACTTTCTTAAAGTGTCAGTATGGTGAACTGCAATTTCATCAAACTTCCGAAACCCCTGAAATGATAAAGTTTAAGAATGAAATCAATCAAATCTAGGTATCAGTCATAAATCTAAATACCAAATAAATCTTGATACTAATTCTGTCTAGAAAACTATCGTATATATAAATATACATATATATATATATATATGCATATATATATATACATATATATATATATATATATATATATATATATATATATATATATATATATATATATATATATATATATATATATATATATATATATAAATATATATATATATAATATAAATATATATATATATATATATATATATAAATATATATATATATATATATATATATATATATATATATATATATATATATATATATATATATATATATATATATATATATATATATATAGGATATCAATCAGACCTGGATAAAATTTAAATTTAGATACCATTCAAGAGACATTTATAATGTAAGGATTTTAAATAAAAACATCAGGTTTTATTTAAATTTTAAAAATTAAAATGCATGTTAATATCTTAATATAATTCTTCCAGTTTACCGTTACATTTACCATTAAATGCGCATGGTTACATCTATTGTTCAATCTTAGTTACGGTTCTGTATTCTGTAAAATATTCGCTAATAGTTTCCAATCTACTTCCGAAAATTCACAAGGCAAGCAATGAACATGCTGTCAGCTTTTATATTTAATAATAAAAGTTTAGTTTTAATAATAAGATTAAGTTGCATTTACTTTTGAAATGTTTGTATTAGTTTTTTTGTTTGTTTATGCTCTAACCGTTTTCCATTTTATTTAGTTTGTTTTATTTATTTAATTTTTGGTTTGCTTTCATGCATACTTTTTCAGCTTTTCATAAATAATTAATATAATATAACTTTTTATTGAATAAATGAATTTTATTCATAAATGTAATATATAAATTTGATTTTGTATGTTTTTTTATTTGTATTAAGATATTTGCAGCAATCATTTGCATACATTTATATAATTATATAAATATATATATATATATATATATATATATATATATATATATATATATATATATATATATATATATATATATATATATATATATATATATATATATATATATATATATATATATATATATATATAGTAAGCCGTAGTAAGCCGAGGTTAGGTCAGCAAAAAACTTAATAAAAAAATACTTCATAAAAGACTAAATAAATTTGAGAAAAAATGGACTAAAAACTAGTTAATTTTTTTTCTAAATTAAACTTCTCAAATGTTAGTTTTTTCAAAATTTATTCAAAAGTAAATACAAATACTTATATTGAACGAATGACTTATTTTTTACATAAATTTATTTTTGCATGCCAAAACTTTTAGAGATTCAGGTCGGCAGTTGTATGCCGTCGTAAAGCAAAGATTGTCGGCCGACCTGAATTTCGCTGACTGTATATATATATATATATATATATATATATATATATATATATATATATATATATATATATATATATTTGGTTACTCAAGTATTTAAACTCAAGTTAAATAGCCTCCTCAATGATATATTCAAACATGGTGTATTAGGAAAAGTTGTAACGCATGTTCAGGTTATTGAGTTTCAAAAGCGTGGTTTGCCGCATGCCCACATTTTACTTCATTTTGCCAATGATGATAAACTTTAAACCGCACAGGATATCAATAATTTAATATGTGCAGAAATTCCAGATGCGATTGTTAATCCTGAACTTTATGATATTATTAAAACTTGCATGATTCACGGCCCATGTGGGATACTGAGTCCTAATTCTCCCTGCATGAAAGATGGGGTAAAGCTAAAATTATCCTAAAGAATTTAATGCTAACACAGTAGCCATTCACAATGGCTATCCACGCTATAGGCGTTGTGAAAATGGGTTGGTTATCAATATTAAAGGCAACAATGTAGATAACGATTGGGTGGTACCTTACAATCCTTGGTTACCTAAGAAATATCAAGCCCCATTAATATTGAAGATTGCATGTTTATAAAGACTGTTAAATATTTGTACAAATACATATACAAAGGGCAATATTGTGCGAATGTTTTGATAAATGAACAAGGTAATCACGATGAAGTAAACACTTTTTTAGATTGTCGTTATGTTAGTGCACCTGAAGCACTGTGGCGAATATTCGAGTATCCCATAAGTCATATGTCACACACTATTATCCGTCTTAAGGTTCATCTTCCTGAGAATCAGATTGTGTATTTTAGAGAAGGAGAAGAACAAGTGGCGTTAGATCGTGCTGCTCAACGTGATACACACCTTACAGCCTGGTTTAAATTGAGTTCTGAAAATGAAGGAGCGCATCACTATTCATATGTAGACATTCCATATCACTATGTATTTAATGATAAACATTGTAAATGGAAGGTTAGACAAAAAGGTGGAAATAAGATCAAAGTAAGAATGTATAAAGTTAGTCCAACAGGAGAATTATTTTTACTTAGATTGTTACTTTTGCAGGCAAAAGGAGCAATATCTTGGGAGGATTTGCGTACTGTTAATGGAATTGTTCTTGAAACCTTTTGTGAAGCATGTGCTTTAAAAGGTTTGTTGCAAGATGACGCTGAATGGCAGAATACTCTTTCTGAGGCAGTTTTAATGCGAATGCCTAAGCAAATTAGACAGCTGTTTTCAATTATTTTAACCTTTTGTGAACCTGACAACCCTTTGCATCTTTGGAATACATACAAAGCTTTTATGATGGAGAATTTCATTCATCGCCAAGTTCCATATATATTAGCTGAAAAAGCTACTCTTTGTCAAATCAAAAAGATTATTAATCAAAGTGGTAAAACACTATCAGATTATAATTTGCCTGTTGATGAATTCATAGATTTTAATCTAGAAAATTTAAATGATAATGTCCAGCAATCAATTGACGAAGCTAATAGAATGAGACCGCTTCTCAATGTCAATCAATTAAATGTAAGTAATGCTGTCCTTGCTGCATTGAACGAGCAACCAAGTGTAGAAAATCAACATTCTAGATTGTTTTTTATGGATGGACCAGCCGGTGATGGCTACCAAAAAGTTGTAAATAACTTCAATCAGAAAAGATATTTATAACTTTTTTGTTGCCGCTTTTTCTTCTGTGATTTTTTTTTTTTTATAATTTTGTAATTTTTTTTTTTAATTTGTAATTTTTTTTTAATAATATATTATGTTGTATGTTTGATTTGTTTTGGTCTTTTTTAATTAAAATTTTAATAACTTTTTCACCAATTAAACTTAAATATAGTTAAACTGATTCATTATCCAATTATCATGATATAATGGTGCAACATGCTTTTGTTAAAAATAATTAATTAGTAGTTTCATTTATTAAACTCACTGCTTTTAAAATTTACTATAAGCCAAGACATTTATTTACCTATATAAATGCAATTTTTTTTCATCAATTTGATTTATTTATTTTTAACATTTATAGTTTGGTTACTTAAAGTATTTTATATTTTGCTTTTTAATTAAAATATTTTAAATCCATTGTGATGTCTTTTAAATTAAACTAAAGTTAAATTAAAAAAAGCCAACAAAAAATAACGTCATTAAACAACACCGACAAGAACTGCTGCATCATGACAACAACTGAAGTATCACAACAGTTTACCGAAAGCAAATTTCTTTAAGTTTTCCAGTTATTTTTTTCTTTTCTTTTATGTCTACTTATCTGTTACAATTTTTATTTTAGGTTTGTCATTTGACGCATTAATGCAATATAAAAGATCAAAGTTTACATATTTTTTTAAATTTGTTATACGCATGTTTGATTGTAAATTAAATTTTTTTTGTTTGAAACGTATTTGTATTCAGTTGCTTAGTTATTTATAATAAACTTAGTTATTTTTAATAAATTTATTTAGTTGTGTGCATTTAACATTTTTAAGATAACAATTTTCTTTTCTAAAGAAAAATTAATCAAGGGGATACCAAAAAATTTATAACTCCTGTATAATATAAGTTAACTTAATCTTAATAATTAATTAAAGTTCATTTTATAAGAATTACTACAAGGATTTAGTGGATAATTTCATCAATTTAAAGCATGATGAAGTGTTATTATTTTGTGGCAGTAACTAAAAACGTATTGTGTTGAACTTAGGAATGTCAAGAAAAAAGGGTATTAGTTAAGGTTTTGCAAAATTAAAAGGGTATTAGTTAAGGTTTTGCAAAATTAAATTGTGGAAAACAGCCTCTACAAATTCTTTACGTAACAGACTGACTATAACCCGTATTATGGGTTGCTTTTTCCTAGTTATTATGGTAACTTTAAAATAATAAAATATTCACATATTCACATATTAGTTACATATTAGCAGACAATTCAAGTTACAATTTAATTACAACAATTATACAACAGTAAAAAATTACTTTATAGCATAACAAAGTAGCACATGACTAATATAAAATTAATGTCACACATATGTTAAAACAATTAGTATAATAGTCCGCAAGTAAAGTATTACACTTACAGATGATAAAATTACTGTGTAACAATTAAAAATAAAATATAAACATTTTTACAGAACAAAAATGATATAACAACACACAATTGCAGTCTAACAACAATTCAACATTGCACAATTACATATAAAGAGGTCATAGCAAACATAATTTGATTAATATATTAAAAAAAACCTCTTCTGGAGAACTTTGTTGTGTTATTATTGCATCCAAAAAGTCAAACAAGTACTATAAAAAAAAAAGTCATTTAAAAAAATTCCTTCTATTTAGTTGTTCATTAAGCAAACTCTTCATAATTATGTATCAAAATACTTCCAACAAAACACAGCAACAAAATAATTCTAACAGAACACAACAAAATAACATTCCTAACAAAGCCATAATTTTAGATGGATTGAACAAGTTGTGAACAAAATAAATGTTACTATATTAAAAAAAAATTGTGTACCGGTTGCATATACTTGTAAGTTAAATGAGAATTTTCTGCAAGAACATCTGCTGCTAAGTCATAGTACTAACATAAACAGAAAATAAGTATGAAAATGCATTTTTTATCATTACATGTTGTAATAATTTTATTTTATTTCTTTGAAAATAGTTATTTTACAAAATTGATTATTGATTCTTTTAAACTTCCAGTTATCATTTTCAATAAAACAAAAAATGAATAAAATTACTTGGTATTTGCAATATAAAAGAAGAAGATTTCCAAAAGTTGCTAAAAATGAAACATGCTTATATATATTATATATATATATATATATATATATATATATATATATATATATATATATATATATATATATATATATATATATATATATATATATATATATATATATATATGTGTATATATATATATATATATGTGTATATATATATATATATATATATATATATATACACACAGTGGTGTACAGTCAGATTTTGGCCGGTCGCCCGTCAGGCGACTGAGAGTAAAAATTTAACTAATTACAGTTGCCTGCCAATGTTTTGAGTCGTCCGTTTCCATTTTTTTTGAAAAATCGCATTTTGCCTAATTTTCATACAGTCATTTTGCATATGGTTATAGTATATGCAAAATGGCTGTAAACTGTTAATAAAATTTGCTTTAGTTATTTCATAAAAAGCACACGCCTGCATGAATAACTTTAGTTTTATCACTGCTTTATTCATTTCTACTACATATTAAATAAATTTAAACACAGGTGACTGAGAGTAAAAATTTAACTAATTACAGTTGCCTGCTAATGTTTTGAGTCGTCCGTTTCCATTTTTTTTGAAAAATCGCATTTTGCCTAATTTTCATACAGTCATTTAGCATATGGTTATAGTATATGCAAAATGGCTGTAAACTGTTAATAAAATTTGCTTTAGTTATTTCATAAAAAGCACACGACTGCATGAATAACTTTAGTTTTATCACTGCTTTATTCATTTCTACTACATATTAAATAAATTTAAACACTAAGTCTTTATAAAAATGAAAAAAAAATTTACAAGAAAATGATTATGATTTTAAGCCAGTAAAACAAAAAATGAAATTCAAATATGGTTATTATCATCTGATATCCACTCTGATCTGATATTTCCGATATCTACATTTTTATTTTCAAGTTGTTGACATAACGTTTCGTTGTCAATAAGGGCTTTAATATTATTGTCTAAAATATTTTTATGTTTTATTTTATTGGTTTCAGTAGTGAAGAAGTCGCTATCTGTCCATTCAGCCTTGTTTAGCAAATTGTACATATGCATTGATACATTTTTATATACATTATAGATTGATATATTTTTCTGTGTTCCCGTAAACAAAAATGTTAACAATATTATTTTCGATATATTGTGAATTTTTATCGATATAAATGTTTACTTTCTTAAAAATTGATATACATATAGATATATTATTATTAAAACAAATTATTATTTATTAAAAAAATACTTGTGTATTGTTATGAAATACTATATAGTATACACGAAATGTAAATTAAATATTTTAACATAGTAACTATTTAAAGTTAGAGTGTAAATATACGTATTTGAATTTAGTAAACATTGAATGCCTTAATTAAAACATTTTTTAAAGTCTTCTGAAGAATGAATATGAAAAAAACTGTGAAAAAAGTGAGAGCGACAAAACAAGTTTACAAAATTAATTTTTAAACTTTTAACGTTACTTTTCAAAGTAAATTTAAACGGACACGATTGTTAACTTTTAACGACTTTTAAATGAAATTTAAATGAAATTTTAAATGAAATTTAAATGAGACTTTTAAACTCAAGAGAGTGAGAGAGCGACAAAACAAAAGAGCAACAAAACAATAAGATTCGAATAAATTTTTTTTTAAAGTTAATTTTAACTAACAACTTAAACATTTTACTTTCATTATAAAATGTTAGTCTTTAATCTTTTTGTAAATATTACTTACAAAATATAAACTATTTTATTTTTAATATTTGTTTACATATTGCAAAGATTGAGCTTAATACCTTACAAAATATTGCCATTGCTCTACATACATCAAGAACATAGATTGCTGTTGACATAAAATGCTGATCCTGTAATTTCTTTATGAAGAACATAGCCTTTTTCTTTAGTCTATCTCTGAGCTGCGCAATAGTCACTTTCCAAGCTGATGGTTTTATAACTGATAATATGCACTTTGAGACCATTAAAAATATTCTCCAATGCATTAACCATATGCGACACCCATCTAGTACCGTTAACATGAATTACACTACACTTGCCTTAAAAAATACTAGCAGGAAATGAATTACAATGCAAGTTAAATAAAGCCGCTGCTGAACACTATGCCTACGTCCAGTGAGAACATTTGCGCCATCCATAGTTATGCCATAGTTATGAGAGGTGCTTTATTTCTGCTCGTAGTAGTAACTGATTATTATGCGGCTCTTCCTTGCTTACAAAACCTTAAAAATCATGCTTGTCATTATTGTCTTCACTATCGCTAAATGGATAGTATATTTCGTCTTTTGCGTGTACTACATCTTCACCATCTGAATCGACATCTTCAGTTGCAGCTGCTCCTAACAGCTTCTTTGGGGGATCCTATTTGATTTCAGATTTTAAAATTTTTAGTATTAAGACTGTGTGTGTAGCGTTAAGTCGTGTTACACTGTCTTTTGCCAGAAATCATGTCACAATATTTCCATTTATCGAAATCATTTGCTCTAGTGTAAAAGCATCAGTTGACTCTTCAATAATAATACTAAAAAATTTAGCTGTAGAGAATTGCATTCTGAATTCCTTTAAAAAAACATCTGCTATTGCTAAACCAAAATTGACTCCATCTTGTCTATTGCGATATGCTGATATCGGAAAATGGTTTCCCTCTTTCAACACACCATACATATTTCGAAATAAAAATTGCAAATGCGGGTTTAGAGCTTCTGATAAGGTTATCTTTATCCTTTGAACTTCGCTTAACTTATTTTGTTCCCTGTCCATTATGAGGGTGTGCTGAATATTCGTTAGTTTGCAATGCTTACTGACACTCTTGATTCTATGAGAAGTAGCACCAAATACAAAAGGATATTGCTTGATTTCTTTTATTGTTGGTGTGTGATTTTTTGTTAACTGATGAGCGTGGTAATGCTTTTCACAGCAACTAAAGCAAATCATGATATCCTAAATTTCATCATCCTTAACTTGTTTACTTTTTTTTTGCTTGTTCTTCCAGACTATTTTTAACAATTTTTGTAGCCTCTTCTGTATATAATTCTGATACTTTGCTAAATCGAAGCTAAGAATATTCTTTTAACCACAATGATTGAAGAGTTCATATTCTTTTACTATGTTCATATTGGCTGCTGTTGATTTTTGTCGTTTTTAACATTAAGATTACAACCATCATTGTTGCTTTCCCCCACCACGAAATAGATACCAAGAGTTTTCATTTTTCGTTTCCGTGCGGTAAAAAAGTCAGATGTCATTATACTAAATAAATTTAAATATAATGCTATTTAAAACCTACAGTATCAAAATTAATCTTATAACTGATAATAAGTTACACAACTAAAACTTTAAAAAATCAATTACAATTATCAAACTTACAAGTAGGTATTTAACTTATTTGTAAATTTGTTAATAAATTTAAGTGAAAGCAAATAATCTGAACTGGTCTGAAATGTCTAGCCTATTTTATACAAGTTTTATAAATCATTAAAAATAAACTATGATTTTTGGTGGTAGTATTCATTTTAAGTTAGTTAATATTGTCTAATCTTTCAAAAATCGTAGGATTGGAATTACCACAATTAATTTCATTATGACGTAAATTTAAATAAATTGCAAATGTGATGAGTTAAACACAAACTAGTACTTTAATGTTTAAACAATTTTCGAACAATTTTATTTTGTTCTAATAATTAGGGGCATACCAAAGTGAATTTAATGGAGGGCGAGGGAGCGTGAAATTTGTGTTTTTGCTGACTAGAGTACAAAATTGAAATAGTGAAGTTCTAAAAAAAAAAAATCCTAAGCTAATAATAGAAAAAAGAACTACGAACTTTAATATAGAGACTTGCAAAATATTATTGCATTATAATCTCAAATAAATTGATGTTATTCTGTCATAAATATTTTTAGTCAATGGTATGTTTTATATTAAAACTATTACGTAAAACTTAGTTTTGAACATTTTTAAAATTACAATTAAAAAGTAAAACATTTTTTTTGAATGTTTTAACTGCTTTTTTTTAACTAGTACAAACTCATATATGTAATAAAATTTATATAAAAAAAAAATTATATAATTATGTAAAATAAATTATAATATATAATTTCTTACATAAAAATAAAAATTATTATATAATATTTTTTGTAAATTGTAATTAATTGTATATTTTATATATTAACTGTAATGAATTATATAAATTTGTTTCAATTTGAGCAAAATAAAATAAAATTATTAAACTATTTGTTAAAAAATAAATTAAACTATTTGTTAAAAAAATTGCAACTATATAAACACTTTTATTTTGAAATTTTTAATTGCTGTAATAATTCTTAAACTTTCTACAGTCTAAACAAGTTAGTCTTTAAAAAGCATAAAAAATAAAGAAAATTTTAAGACATCAAATTCACATTAGGTTAATGCTTTAATCATTTTTCATATAAAGCAAGGCCTGACACACACATGCACATAGTATTGTATAAACAAACTTATTAACTAAAATAACTCACCAGGAGGAAAAGGATTTTGCTGAAGTAAAAATTGCATCTTCTCAAAACCCTGCAAAAAAGAAATTTAAAAAACAGTTAGAGTGCACAACATAATAAGTTCATTTATCAAAATTTTTAATTTTTTGTTTTTCTAGTTAATTAAAATGTGGTCATTAAAATGTGGTCATTAAAATGTGGTCATTAAAATGTGGTCGTTAAAATGTGGTCATTAAAATGTGGTCATTTTGGATCAGTTGGTAAATAAAAAACCCATAACATTTTTTTTTTCTACTCAAAAGAAACCTCTTAACTAAATTTTTTTTTAATTATTTGGGATTTGCTTTACAAAAACTTTTTATTTTTAAATTTTTACGCATTTCTTGAGAAGATATATATAAAAATGTAACTTTTGGGCAGTGGCTCACCTTGTGTCTATAAGAGATCGCTAGTAATTTAAGAAAATAGGCTTAAAATGTCAGCAATGGTGCCAGCAAAAAAGTTACAAAGCTGTGTTTAAATAGAAAATTTAGTTTTTTTTTCATGGCTGCAAAATTAATTTAAAAAATAAAAATGATTAAAAATTTTTTGAAATTTTTTGAAATTTTTTTGACTTAGTTATTCTTAAGAATTACAAAAATTTATTTTTTAATTTTTTTTTTTAAGTATTTTTTTTAATTTTTTTAATTTTTGGAAGAAATACATAAAAAAATAATTTTTGGATATGGTATACTTTGTAGCTATCAGTGATCACTAAAAAATACCATTAAATTCATAGCGTAAATTGAATTGCGCCAATGTCAAAATAGCAGTGTTTTTCTAGGCGTGATAATAATGTGAGGTGTGGTGATGCTTTTTGCTGTTCGAGATGAAAAATTCAACTCAGTTTTGTTTATTAGTTGCCGCCATTTATATGATTGAGTATTACTCAAGCCCACTATACTTTCATCAAAAGCCATAACTATTTGCGCAGTTTGAATGTGCTCCAAAAATATTGAGAAGTTGCTGTTTTCAAAAACTTCCAAAAGGTTTTTATGTTGTCAGCAAAATGATTGACTAATGTTTAATGTAATGATAAAATCGTAAATATGCTCTTTTAAACTTAAATTATTTTTAAATACAGAACTGTAATGGTATTTACCTTGATTGTCAGAAAATATAATCTCTTCTCCATTAATCAATTTAAAACAATGCTTCTGCACAGTTGGATAAGTCTAAGCTCCTAAACTTGACATGATTCTACTTCTTTTGATTTTTTGAAACTTAGCTAATGTAACAGCCATAAAAATTGCGAGACTAAATAATCATTTCATTTTAAATACCTAATTTCTTTCTCACGTAACAATTTAACCATATTAAAATAAAATTTGCCTAAATCTTGAATATTTTCTTTTTCTAATTCAAAATTGTTTCTGTAACTTTTTTTTTAATTTTTTTTGAGCTATTGATCTCTAACGTTAAAAAAAATTTTTTTGAAAATAGTTTTGCCATATCCTTCAGGAAATAATAAGATCATATCTAAGAATAAGAGACAAAAGGTTAAACTTACCTTTATTTCTCTAGTAAAGATTTTTTTTTAAGTATCTAAAAGTTTTAAGATAAGATTTAGTAAACTGAGAATATTGGAGCTTAACATTAGACAGCACCTTTTTACATTGATTTCTTGCAATAATAAATAGGTGTTCGCACTCAAAAGACTATTTTCTGAACTCTAAGATGAGTAAGATGCTTTATTTTCATTTTATTAAGTTGTCCTGTTAAGTAAGTTGCTTTGTTAACTAAGTTGTCTCGTTAACTAAGTTGTTCTGTTAGTTTTCACATTAAGTAACTGTTAACCTACTAAAAGAACTGCTTGCTTTTTGCAAGACTTTTTGCAGACTATGTAGGCTTGAAGTAGCAACTGGCTTTGAATTCTGAACTTGTTTTTCCCGCCCATGTGTCTTGTAACATTTTATTAACCCAAGTTAAATTGAACATAACATGTTTTGCATTTGGCTGACTTTTTATCTGTGCCATTTACAAACCATTTTTTAAAGCATTGATACTCAGCTATTCTTTATTGAACTTAGTTGTTACTTAAAATTTTATATATATTTTTTTATTTATTTTAAAAAAAGAGAATGAAAATTGAATATGGTTAAAAAAAAAACTTTAAAAAGCTTTACTTGTTGCAGCTAATTCTGCACAAAAAAAGTACCTAATATATTACTATACTACTATATTATTAATGACCAGAATAAAGTTAATTTTTTCTTTAACCATTAAATCTTTATTAAGTTTTACAATCTTTAGAGATAAAAAAAAAACATTAAAATAAAATAGCACCAAAACAAAAAATTTTCTCTGATTTTTAACTATATCAGCCTTATTTCCCTAATTTTCCCTGATTTTATGTAAATTTCCCTTATTTTCTTTATTTGGTAAATCAATCCTGCTTTACAATCAGTATCATCGGATGAAATGTTCAATGAAATTTCAATTACATATTTAATGAAATACCTAATATTTAATAACATGTTTAAAACAATTTTTTTTTTAGTTTTAACACAATAAAAATATAGTAAAGTGCATAATAATTTTAAACTTAATTATAAAATTAATTTATATTTTTATTTATATAATATATTAATGAACCTCTGTTGGTTTTTCTTCAACATTCATTAATGCTTGATTGTGTAATGAAACTGGATCAAGTTCTGTATCTGAGCGTGGTGGCATATCTGTGAGAGCTTCTTTTGCAGCATTGACTTAAAAAAAAAATTTTACATTATAAATTACATGTATTAATAATTAACATTATTATTATTACTATAGTTACAATTATTCCCATTTAAATAAAACATTTATTTAAAATAGTAACAATTGTAATAATAATGGTTATATACAAAAAGTGGTATTTTGACTTATACAGTGCATTATGGTCTTTACAATGATATAAAACACTTACAGTTTTTAAGCTGGTATTCAATGGCAGCTTTTAAATTAAATGCTTCAATAAGAGCTGTGTCATGTAAGACCTAAATTTAAATTGAATAAACACAAAAATACAAAATAAATAAACAAAATATAAACACTGAACGAGTATTATGGTAAACAATCTATTAATTTTCTGTTTCTACTAATTGACCATATTTATTAGTCGCATAAAAACATTTTCTGAAAATTCTAAATAAACGTAAGTTTTGAATTTTAAAAATTCAAAACTTACTTTTCAATAACATAGTGCTAATTATTAATAATACAATAACTAAAAATAACTAATAATAATTAAGTAAAAAATAATTACCAATAACAATGTAGTAAAACATAACAATAATAATGAACAATAACAATAATCATAAACTTGATATTTAGTGAACTTTTACATTTTGCATCTATTATGATATCAAAATATTAAACATTACTATTACTTACAATGTAAAATCTAATATTTTTTTTAATATTAAATAATTAGACTTTACTTGGTTCAAAAACTTGTAATAACTTACTTAATAGCAAAGTTTTTTATTGTATTAAAAAACCAACAGTTAAATGAAAAACACACAATTAAGTTAAATTAGTAAACTGGACAAATAAATACTTGTTATGCTAATATATATATATATATATATATATATATATATATATATATATATATATATATATATATATATATATATATATATATGAATATATATATATATATATATATATATATATATATATATATATATATATATATATATATATATATATATATATATATACATATACATATATATTAGGGGTAGTCCAAAAAAGTAAACTTTCAAATCTAAAAAACCATACCCCCTAAATTTGGGGCAAATATATAAAAAATAAGCTTAAAAATGTTTGACTATCAGATCACTTTTACCCACCACCACAAAAAAAAAAAAAAAGACCAAAAACTGGTCATTTTCGGGCATTTTAAGGGAGAGGTAATTATATATATATATATATATATATATATATATATATATATATATATATATATATATATATATATATATATATATATATATATATATATATATATATATATATATATATATATATATATATATATATATATATATATGTATATATATATATATATATATATATATATATATATATATATATATATATATATATATATATATATATATATATATATATATATATATATATATATATATATATAGACCTATATTTTAGTTTAAAAATGTATAGTTTTTTTGTTACCCCTCAAAAATATTTGGTGGTATTGAAATATATGAAAATTGGTAATTTTTTGAAATTTTTTAGTTATTCCTATGTTTAAATTTTGGTGCAACTTATGATAGTTGATCATTTTGATTTTTCTAACAGTTTTAGATTAGTACATAGAATAAACATAATAAAAATGAGTGAAATACAACTTAGGTCAAAGAAAAAGAAACTTTTTATCATAAAAGAGGCAAAACCTACCATATCAGGTAGAAACATTTTTATTATTATTGGAATTATTAAATTATTAGTCACTAAAATATTTGTTTAAAAATATCTAAATGTGTTAACTGATTTTAATTTAGTTAAAAATTTTGAACATGCATAAGTCCTATTCCAATTTGAAAAAAAAAAAAAATGCAAAAAGAAGTACTATAGGTGATTTAAACAAAATGTGTTTGAAAAACAAAATGTGTTTGAAAAACAAAATGTCTTTGAGATCAAAATTAAAAAACTTTTTTTGGGCTGGTAACTCTAATCTCAAAAACATGATCAGTAAAGATAAAAAAAGATCACTAAAAGAAAAGATTGAAGATTTAAGATTTTTGAAAGATCAAGGTGAATGATTTTAGTAAAATAATTTATCTCTGGTTTAACCTCTGTTAAGTTATTATTTTTTTCTAAAATTAAAAAATTATAATTAAAACTATAATTAAAATTAAAAACAATAATTTTTCTGTAAATTAGGCAAAAGAAAGTATCAGGAAGAAAAATTGTTCACAACCTAAAAGTTTGATAGTTGATATACCCAACAGTGAACTTATGGACACAATTCTAAACCAGGACTCTTTAATCCAATCTGATTTTGATTTAAGTGATTAGTATCACATAGAAGTCTCTGAAAACCCAGATACAGTAACTGCAAAAATTCCAGAAGATATTTATGCAGATAATGTTTCACTTACAGTTACAGCCTGTGATATAATGCCAAATGTTTTACAGAAGGTAACATATGCAATTCTATACCAATCAGGTGTTGACTTTAAAAAAGTTAAAAACAGTCAGTCTACTGCTTATAGAAAAATGAAAAAAGAAAAATGTCCATCATTAAAAAAGAGGATATTAAGGTAGTCATTGGTGCATATCCATGTATAATTTATTTTGATGGTAAGACCTTGTTGTTTGATGGTAAGACCTAGTTGTTTGAGCTAAACAAATGAAAAGTGTTAAAGCGGGATAGAATGGCTGTTTTAGTTAACATTAATGGAGAGACTTACTTACTTGGTACCTCTGCTATCATCATCCACTGGTGAAGATCAGTTCTTAGGTGTAACAAATTTAATTAAGGAGTATCAACTTTCATCAAAAACTAGAGGAATATGCTTTGATACAATATTATCCAATACTTGGACAAATAAAAGATCAGTTTCCAGAATATCTAAAGAACTAGATAAGTATCTTCTCCAAATACCCTGTGGACATCACGTGGCTGAGTTAAGAATGCTTCATTTTAGGAAATTAATGACCAATGACAAAACTTCTATCCAACTAACTCGCGTTTGTTCAAGAAGATGATAAGCTGAAAACTAAAATTCAGCTTTTATCAGAATTTATTGTTTGCTTTTATGCAAAATGGTATCTACAATCTGAGGATGTCATTAAAGCTCCGTTTCTTGATATTATACCAATATATCAAATGCATCTGTACAAGAATGTATGTTCAAAATAGCTGTTGATGCTGTATTAGAGTATAAGCATTGTTGGCTTTTGGATTCAACCATGATACATCTAGCTTTGCTAGATGATGAATTATATATATATATAGTAAAAAAAAAATATATATATATAGTAAAAAAAAAATTTGAAAAAAAAAACCTTTTACAAGATGCCCAAAAATGACCAGTTTTTAGTCATTTTTCTCCTATACTATTCACTTGAGGTCAGGTCAAAAGTGATCTGCTCAAAGTGATCCGATAGCGCTCAAACTTTTTGAGGCTCATTTTTATAAAATTGCCACAAATTTAGGGGATATGGTTTTTTAGATTTGAAAATTTACTGTTTTTTGATTACCCCTAATATATATGTATGTATACTGTAGGATTAGTTTGATACCTTTGTATTGCCAACACTTCTCACTTCGATTCCTTCTGTCATCATCCCAACACTAAGCTCTTATATAAATATATATAAAAAAAAGAAATATTAAATGAAATATTACAACATAATTTTACAGGCAGCCCTAAAACCATGTAATTATATGACATAGTTTTATGGGTGCCTGATGGTACAGTCTTTCCAAGTCAATAGTAGCTTATAATTGCCAATAGCACCAAAATGTACAATATTAAATACTACCAGTGGCATGCTGATTATATTTTGATATTTTAGTTAACTATTAATAATTTTCTTTATATTTTAAATATAATATTACACTAATAATATAAAGTTTTTTTTTTTTTTTATTTTAATTCACCTCCTCAGAGATTTTATTTTATGGCAAAATGACCTTAATTATGTAACAGAGGACCAATCAATAAAGCAGATGTTTTCTGACTGAATCGTAAAAATTAAATTATAAGTGTTGGTGAATAAATAATAGTCAATCTATTTGCATGTTGATTTTACTACCCTTATTTGATACCGGGGACTAAAACCTTTAACGTCTTTTTGTTTTGTTTTGTTTTGTTTGGTAACGTCAAAACTCCTTCCACCGTAATTTTAACTTGTAATTTTTAAACGGTTTTTAAGTGACAAAATACACAATGGCTGGTAATTGCCGAAAGACATGAAACTCAGAGTTCCATCAAAAGTTGTTTTTATTCATTTAATATAAATAAATAAATATTGCTCTATTATTTAATAGTATTGAGCACTCTTAAACGCACAAGAGTATTTGTATTATTATTATTTTACCATAATAATACATTTTCTATTTTGAATAAATTTGCTCCTACAAGTTGAGCACTCTTCTCAAGTCGTCAACAAAAATGGAAAAAATAAACTTGAAATATTCAATCAAAAATATACCGATTCTATCTGAAAAAAAATATAAATTAAAACCACTAAACAAAACAGAAATGCTTGTAAAGAAAATGAGATGGAAGGCATTCTTTTTCATAAATAACTACCCAAGAAATGATTAAAATTATACAGACTACGGAATCAAATCAAAAAAATGCCCACCACAAGAGTATTTGTATTATTATTATTATACCGTAGTAATACATTTTCTATTTTGAATATATATATATATATATATATATATATATATATATATATATATATATATATATATATATATATATATATATATATATATATATATATATATGAATATATACATATACATATATATATATATATATATATATATATATATATATATATATATATATATATATATATATATATATATATATATATATATATATATATATATATATATATATATATATATGAATATATACATATACATATATATATATATATATATATATATATATATATATATATATATATATATATATATATATATATATATATATATATTCCTTTAACTAATATCTGCATAGAATTATTTAAATATATCTCAAACAATAAATTTGAAATAAAAATTAATAAATTTACTTAAATGTTTCTATATTTTTATAAATGTTAAAAAAAAAAACATTTACTAATAAAATCAAACTTAATACCTGGATGCTCTTTGATTCCTCGCTCAATGATATCTGCAATATGTTTTAATGCAGGAGCATAATGCTTTTGTTTATAGTGACATAAAGCAATGTTGTAAGATAAATCTAAAAACATATTCAATAATTATATATAAGCAGACATTAAAAAAAAATCACAGTCAATAAAACCCAAATATTATATCAGAATTTTTCAGAAATTATTTAATATATAGTGAATATTCTAAGTCCAATAAAAGTGGTAGCTATTATAAATCCATAGTGGTAGCTAATTTGAATTTTTAAAAGTACAAAAATTAATAAATTTCTAGTTAATAATCAAGAACCTGCACGATATCCTAGAATATTCATGGCAGTTGTGAACTTTTGGCTTGCTTCTTTATACCTCTCTTCCTATAAAACATAAAAAAAAAAACAATGTAAAACATTAACAACAGGTACAATAACAAATAACAAGCAATCATACATTTTAAAGGTATGTTAAAATTTTAAAAATATCGATGTCATATTATTAAAAAAAAAATCAGAATGTAAATATCTATGAATCCAGAGCTTAACACATATGGTAAAATGAGGATTTGCATGTACTCAGGCAACTCTAATGATTTTCAATTATGGCTATTTTTAATCTGCTTATTAAAAATTAATTATTTAGCTGTGCAAAAAAAATTTTTTTTTGCTTTGTTACTGAAAAAGTAACGCAGTATCTTTTACTCTAAGTACATTTTTAATAAGCTACTTTTTACTTTAACTTGAGTAAACTTATCGATCGGTAACTATTACTTGTACTTGAGTAAAATTTCACTCAAGTAACAGTACTTTAACTTGAGTACAATTTTTTTTTACTTTTTCCACCTCTGGCTTTTATTATTAATTTCTATAAGGATTTGGAAATCAAAATGCTTGTTCAAGCCAAAACCTTTAACAAATGTATGCCACATGTATAAAGTATGAACACTAATAAGCCATGTAAAGGGCTCACCTACTTCTTCTCAGTATGATTTTATCAGTAACATATCATATTTATCTATGTATGTCTCAGTATGATTTTATCAGTAACATATCATATTTATCTATGAAGCAACTGAAATATAAACAAGTATCAATAAACAAATACTAAAATAGACTGGTTCAGATTGTATCAGAAACTATTATTGCATGAAAGAGATCTACATTTCAAACAAATAAACAAAAACAATTGTTTTCAGTATCATTAGTTTTGTATAAATTGAAAATAATAATGGAAATGAACGTTTTTGATCTTTCATTTGTATTGTTTTCTCATTGTTTTATTTTTTTATCATTGTTCATTTTTATCATTAATGAATTTTTATCATTTACTATTTTTTCATTTTTACCAACAAACTGTTTTAACAAACAAACTTAACTGTAAATTACACCTAAATATAAATTTTGACAACAACATAAATAAATGAATCATAAGAGACAGAACTTTATAGAGTATGCAACCATGATTAACTTCTGTGTCTGGGTCATCAGAAGGAATTTGATCAACCAAACTCTAAATAAAAAAGACATAATCAGTACTTCACATCTTGCATAATCAAACTAATTATTAAAATTAAAGAAAACATAATTAACATATATTAAACTTATTTAATTTAATAATAGTTAAACTGTGCACTCAATTAAATTTATTAATTGAAAATGTATAAAAAATTTTTGTTATTTAAAACAATAAAATGTTACAGTATTACTTATAAACATTAAAACACTACAATAAAAAAACACTAAATGAACAATCATAAGACATAAACAACAACAGTTCAACTCCATTACATCAGCTAGATTACAGACTCAATTACATCAGATTACAACATTAAAACTCAGCAGTATAATTATGCAATGCAGCATTATAACTTATTTAAAATTGAAAAACTTTAACATATAAAGTTAAGCATCTATAAAAACTTAAAAACAATAATTGTCAACAGTGTTGTTTAGTGATTTAAAAAAATATTTAGAAATATTCCTCACAATAAATCATATTTAATATATTTATAAATTATTTTTCATGTTAAGAGTAATTGAATCTGTTTAAGGAATAATTAATTTTGCTTAACCGTAACCCTGATAAAACGAGCCTGTTGGGCTTATATTCTTTTTAAATTTTTATATATTCTACAATTTTTCTCATACAATAACTTTTCTACTTTTTTGAAATAAATTTTTTAAACAATATTTTATTAACAAAAGCAAAACAAAATTATATAATTTTTTTTCTTTTTAACTGCTTCACTCCCAACAAGTCTGCAAGCAACCACCATCAAGTTAAGAGTTACTAGAAAACCAAGAAGCAACCACTATCAAGTTGGGAGTTACTAGAAAACCAAGAAGCAACCACTATCAAGTTGGGAGTTACTAGAAAACCACGAAGCAACCACTACCAAGTTGGGAGTTACTAGAAAACCAAGAAGCAACCACTATCAAGTTGGGAGTTACTAGAGAATAGTATTAAAGAGCAATGGTTGACAGTAGACTTAAAAAGTTGGAGGTTCTATGAGTCTGGAAAACATGAAGATGGGAAAGAGTTACAAAGAAATTAAAGTGCCGTGAAAAAAACAAGATGAATAAAAGTTTATAGAGCATAAAGGGATACACTAAAGGATACCATTTTTGTGTTTGCAAAGTCAAGTGAGAATAAGTTTTGGTTGATGGAACTAGAGATGATAACTTGTTTAAGAAGAATAATGAGAGTGTGGCTCAAGCTTGGTTAATAGAGCAGGTATAACTACATTTACAATAATTCAGTGAGGATTCAGTGAGAGGGTACCATTTATTAATATAGAAGTGTTAATAATATTGCAATAGCTGTTTGCATTAAATAACTGAGTTTTGTTGGAGTTAAAAATCACAAGCCACTGCAATCCCAAATTTGTTCCAGAAGTGAGATCAGATTCAGGATTGGCTGCCTGTTCTAAATAATCGAAAAGAAAAGTCTTTTTGTCATGACAGAAGTATAAAGTTGAGTCACCAGCAAAAAGAGCCACTTTAGATGTAAGGTTGTCGGGAAGATCATTAATGTAGATAAAAATCAAAACAGCATCAAGGATAGAACCTTAGGGTACCCCAGAAGTTACTGGAAATAAAGTAGAGTACTGGCTTTCAAGGATGATTTCGGTTTTGTGGTTAAAAAGAAATGATTTAATAATCTCTAATGAATGATAGAATCTTTTACTTACAGCAGATAGCAAGGCAGCAGTAGAATGAGAAGATCCAAATCTGTATTGATCATTAGAGAGTAAGTTACTAGACTTAAGATACGTTAGAAATTTGTTGATTCAAAGACCTTGCTAATAATGGATTGATTAAATGATAGTTAGAGGGGGTAAGAGTGTTCTCCAGAATTTTTAAAAATTGGAACCACAGATATAATTTTTCAGCAGGACAGAAAACAAGATTCAATCAAGCATTTATTAAATAATTTAAAGAGAATTGAACAAGTTCTAGAGAAAACTTTTTTGTTTGAACCATAAGTCATAGAAGAGTTTATTTGAGAAATAATATTAGCGATGGAAGTAACAAGCGATGGAAGTAACAAGCGATGGAAGTAACAAGCGATGGAAGTAACAAGCGATGGAAGTAACAAGCAGGTATGGCCATAAAATTCAAGAGTCGAATTAAAAGTAAAGTTCTATAAAAATAGTTCCGCCTTTTACTTGGGAAAGGTAATAAAAACAAACCCATAATTTAAAGATGAAATGTTCAACTTATTTTTGACACTGTTGAAAATTGTTAACATTTTATTTGGAATTTTCAATTTTAATTGAGAAAAAACTTTAAAACATTTTGGCTCTTAAACTTTCTAATTTTCATACATTCTCATTTTAAGTAAAATACGTTTTTTATGAAACTTATGTGAGGCTCATTTTATTTGTATATGCTCGTAATAATGAGGCCTGCTGACAGTAATGTTTAATTTATAACTTTTTAAATTACCAACTCAAGGCTTTCAATAAAATTTTAAAAGAAATTATAAAATTTTTACTATTATATGTTTTAATAAATAAAAACACTTAAAAACAAAGAATCAATCCTCACCTTAGCCCCTTGAACATCATCTTCAGTGTATTTGATCGCTGCTTGCAACTTAATGATCTAAAACAATAATAAGAAATATCATTTTCATAAGTTCTTGGTCATGGTCTAATCTCTATAATAAAAATACTATTAAAGAGACCATGATAAAACATATACAATGAGACCATAATAAAACATACACAATGAGACCATGATAAAACATACACAATGAGACCATGATAAAACATACACAATGAGACCATTATAAAACATACATAATGAGACCATGATAAAACATACACAATGAGACCATGATAAAACATACGCAATGAGACCATGATAAAACATACATAATGAGACCATGATAAAACATACACAATGAGACCATGATAAAACATACATAATGAGACCATGACAAAACATACAGCATTGTAAATAAATATATATTTTTTCACACTTGTAAACAACTGTTTCACTATGAATAAAAAAAGGTCAAACATAAGAATCTAATTTTTCCAAATGTTAAGTAATAAACAAATTTTAAAACAAATTAACTATGTTGTTGTTGAAAAAATATAGAGGTGTGCTAAATAAAAACTAATAAAATTAGTTGATTACTTTTAGTATTAATAATAATTATATAATATTACATCATTATTAACTGTATATTATAATTTGTAAGAAAAGTATAATTAGATATATTCAAAGTTATTATTTTCTAATGAATAAGATGATCTAATGCAATGTAATTTAAATTTAGTTTAAAATAATTTTTTTACAAACTTTTTTTTTACATACTTTGGAATCAAGACTTTTCTTTTGAATTAATTTAAATTATACTTTTGACCACCAAATGCAACATATATTAGCATCAATTACTTTCTGGTTCAACCAATCCAGTACAGCAAATTAATATAAATTTTTTAATAATTGATTTTATTGGTTTTGATTGAATAAAATAAAAAAACAGTTTTAGTAAATAATACTAGAAATGATTTAATTAAATCAACCACGTTTAAAGAAAACTTTTAAAACAATAATATATATACAAAAATCATTTACAAATATTTAAAACAAGAATATATATACAAAAATCATTTACAAATATTTAAAGCTATACTTTAAAGTTTGGAATCAAACTTTTCATGCATAAAAAGCAAAGTAATTGTTATCATCATCTAATCATATAATCATCTAGTTACAAAAAAGTTTCAAAAAAAGTCGCAAATGCCAAAACTTTAATTTTGGCTTGGAACAAGCTTGATCTTTTAGTATCTAATCTTTATTGGTTGATGATCACAATGAAGTTTTTTATTAGTTGATGATTAAAAAAGATTTTTTATTGGTTGATGATCAAAATAAGGTTTTTTATTGGTTGATGATCACAAAAAAGATTTTTTATTGGTTGATGATTTCAATGGTTTTTTATTACCATTTGGCTATAAAAACAAATAAATCATACTATAAAATTTCTGAAGTCTGTCACCTTTAATAACAACATTTATATTGTTATTAGTATTAAATAGTTTGTCAGATTTGGCAAATGTGTGAGCAGAAACCTTATTTGAATTCTTAAACTCAAATAAAAGATAAGCCTTGTATTCTTGGTTAACAAAACTGTTTATATTTTTCACTTTTTGATCTAATTTTTCACTGTCAATTTGAGCTGTTACTCACATCACTTTCTGGATTTTAATTGGTCACTTTTAATAAAAATTTTCTTTGCTCCACATAGGAATGGTGTGATGAAATGAAATTTGCTCCACATAGGAAACTTGCTCCACATAGGAATAGTGTGATGAAATGAAACATTTACACCATCATAAATGGTTTCCTAATAATGCAAAACTGTTACTTAGAAAAAAAATTAAGATTGAAATCACTTAGTTTGCTAATAAAAACATGATCTGATATTTAGTTGTTGTTATTTAATGATTCTTTCTGCAACAAATCTTTTTTCCATTTTATTTCCCAATTAGCCTAGCAATAAATTTTAACTCTAATGATTTTAGTGAATTAAACTTGCACAAACTTGCACAAACTCCGCTACAGTTTAATAAACAACTTTCAGCTACAACTCAATAAACAACTTTCAGCTACAATTCAATAAACAACTTTCAGCTACAATTTAATAAACAACTTTAAGCTACAATTCAATAAACAACTTTCACCTACAATTTAATAAACAACTTTAAGCTACAACTCAATAAACAACTTTCAGCTACAATTCAAAAAACAACTTTCAGCTACAATTCAATAAACAACTTTCAACTACAATTCAATAAACAACTTTCAGCTACAATTCAATAAATAACTTTAAGCTACAACTCAATAAAAAAACTTTCAGCTACAACTCAATAAATAACTTTCAGCTAAGAGCAATATCAAAGATTCTTAACTGCCAGTTATATGAATTAAAAAAAATTAATAATTGTCATCAACTAATATTGAGTTTAAAGAATAAAAATTTGTTAAAACTAGAATATAATGTTTTGACATCTTCAACATTTGGCATTTTTGACATCATATGTTAAAACCATTAATATATTATTTTCTACAAATACAAGTAAAACTTTTTTATCCATGAAAACCCATTAAATTGTCTTAAGTCTATTAAAACCATAAAACACTAAAATAATTTATTTAATAAAAAATCTGAAATAAAACAGTTCAAAATAATCATTAAACAAACATCATAATTAATCTCATAAAAAATTACTTACACTAGTTGCAAGCTTCTGATTTTCAATTAGGTATGTTGCTTTCATTGCATCTTGAAAAGCAAATGATTTATACAAAGACTAAAAAGTTAATGTGTTAATTAATAAAAAGTTAATAAATAATAAATAAATAATAAATAAACTAAAGTTAAAATTTAAAATAATAGAAAATAGAAAAACTATAAAACCAGCAAGTTTATTTTTAAGATATAAAAAAAAAAGCTTTTAATGGATTATATTATATAAGGGGGCAAGGGGCAAATTTAAATAGAAAAAGAGAAGAATTAAAATCCAAACCGCTGTATACCTAAGTATGCATCACAAATATATTTAGTCATTATTTGAACAAACAAATAATGACTAAATATATTTGCAACAATCAAACAAATGATGTTTATTTTGCAATATTTTGTTTTAACATCTTTCATGTTTTACAACTTCAACATTTCAATGACAGTTTTAATTATAAAATATAATGGAATAATAAAATCACTCAATACAAACTTTTATTTGAAAATATAAAATAAAATCACATCAGAGTTATTACATTCTGTTTCTAAATCTGTCAATACAGAAAAGTTAATGCCTATTTTAGAAGTCATTGTAATATTATTCAACATAAGCAGGCACATCTTATTGATTATCTGAGTATATTGGGTGTGAATACTTTTTCATTTTTCTGGATAACAATGAGGTGATTTAAGATAACTATGAAATTTTATTCTGTTATTTGGGTAAATATAAATTTTACTTTTGGGTTTGTATATGGACTAAGTAAAAGAAACTCAAATAAGTCATTTTTGCATTCTGAAAATAATTATATCTGCCATACATAACACAATGATACAAATTTTTACCAAAATATTGCCCATTGAAAATTTTTTATCACTTAGTAAATAATTTTCTCTACTAATTCCAAAATTATCCAAAAAAAAATTTTCTGTATCATTAACAAAATATTTCATTTGGGGGAGGGAGGGGGGGGGGGGGGGAAGGAGGGGGTTATGTTTCCGCATTAAAATTGTAATTTTTTTTTGTATGTTAATTCACCTCCATAGGGCCAAGAAGACAACTACAGTCAAGTAGGCTGTTTTAGTTGTGGTTACAACCCACCCTTAACTCTCTAACTTAGAAACAGGAAAATCAAGTTCAGTGTGGTACTACCAGGAACATGGTGGAGAAGCGAGCACTTTACCACTACACAACTACTGCAAATCATTCATAACATGTATAAAAAAAAATACAAAAAAATGAAAGAAGACTGTGATAATGTTAAAGAGCTTCTTAACAAAATTAATTATTCTGAATTCAAGTGGGATGTTTGTGGTGATTTAAAGATGCTTACTTTTTTGGTTGGCTTGAAAGAAGGATACACAAAGTATTTTTTTCCTTTGCTTATGAAGCAACAGGGCTAATGATGATCATTAGAAGAATGCTAATTGGCCTCCTAAAAATAAAACTACAGCAAGGAATATTCAATGTTTTTAAGCAGCCTCCCATGGATTCCATAAAAGGAATATATCAAATTGGGATTGGTAAAACAGGCCTTTTAAAAAAAATTTGAAGGAAGTTTTACAATAAATTTGTCTTTATTACAATAAATTTGTTTTTGAAACTATCTAAGACAAAGATTAAAAGTAATTATTGAACAAAAACATATTTTATGTATGCACTTACTAAAATCTCAATCACCAAAGCACTTCCAACTTTAAGAATATAGTCCTCAAAGCATTAATGCAAGGCTGTGGAGTCAGAGTCAGAGTTGCAACATTTTTAGTGGAGCCAGAGTCGCTAAACAAAATCGCGACTCCGACTCCAATAGTAAAACTTCTCGGTATTGCACATGCATGTACAAAACATTTAATTAACCTTATGTTCATACTAAACCTCAATAAAACGTTTCCTTTTTTTTTTTAATTTTTAACTTATTGCATTATATTTTTTAAAGAATTCAAAGAGTTTTTCAAAAATTTTGCTTTGGAGTTAGAGTCAGAGTCGGAGTTGGAGATAAAGTGGGAGTCGGAGTTGTACTCAAAAAATTTAAACTACTGGAGTCGGAGTCGTTACTTTTTTTTTACAACTCCGCACACCATTAATGGTAAAGAATTATTATTTCTTTTTTGTTTTCATTAGTATTGCACTTCCTAAATAACTTTTGATATATGAAAAAGTGCTATAAGCTATGCAATTATCCTTAAAAAACTAGAATAAATTGATACAGCATATGATGAGAAAATTTACACATGTATGCTTTTTTTTCACTCTGATTCACTCCCAACAAGACTGCAAGCAACCACTATTAAGTTAATATATAAAAGTTACTAGAAGAAAAAAAATAGAGTTATAGAACAAGGAAACAGTTGACAGAAGCCTTGAAAAGTTTTAGGTTGTATGAGTCAAGAAAACACAAAGATGAGAGAGAGTTCCAAAAGGTTGAAGTGCAGGCAAAAAAAATAGATAATAAAAGTTTTTAGAGCATGCAGGGATAGATACTGTAAAAGAATGAGGCTTTGCTAAATGACAAGTAAAGCAAGAACAAGTTTTAGCTGATGGAACTAGAGATGATAGCTCCTTAGAGCTGCAACCACAATAGTATTTGTAGAAAAGAGAAAGAGAAACAACTTTTCAACAATCGGAGAGACTCGCTCATTTTTTGCCAAGCTAAAGCTTGGCAGAAAGAGCAGCTCCATCTATGTTTAATGCATTTTTTGACTTTTTTTAGAAGAGAAAAAGCATCATTAGAAGGCTCAATCCAAATATGACAACAGTATTCCATACAGAGACCAATAAGAGATTTGTAGAGTTAGAAAATAGAATCAGGAGTAAGAAAAATGGCAAGCACGATAAAAAGAAGCAATCTTAACAGATGCTAATTTACCAATCAAGTGTGTATATGGTTGTATATATGATTGTATACATAGTATTGTATATACAATTGTATATATGACTGTGTATATAGAGCATGGCCTCCTAAGCAATGAGCTACCCAGTTGTCTCAGTTCTTTTAATTAACCCAAAGCTGTAACTTAGGGCTCCTTATTTGGCCTCAACAATGCGCACCAAAAGCATTAATAGGGACATTATCCATGCACAACATGGTACTGTTAAAACTCAATATTTTACAGTTGCTGATGGATAAAGCCTCTTTGAGAACTACCACAGAGTTTGGGTAACCTTACTACCAGCTCAGAAGCAATAAACTAAGTTTTACACCTGTATCCACATTAGACAAAAACCAAACAGTTGCATAGCCACTATCAAGGAGGCACAAGCAAAAATCTATGAGCATAGACAATAAGACCAAGCATTCATCATCTTAGGCAGAAAACAATGTAACACAAGTTTACATCTACACTAGCCTAATAGATGAAGAAGAGGGTCGAGGCTGGTCAGCATTTATTCTGCTTACCCCTCAAGTCTTTACCTAGGAGGTCTTTTTACCAAAGACCTTCTACAAGACAGTAGCTGGATGCAGTTAACATGCCCAAGATGAGTACTTTAATCAAGACATCATTCCTAGTCTTCACTCAACCAAAAGCCCCTTCACTCAACCCAGAGCATTTTTTAAGTTGGAGTTTAATTCATAAAAGGCAAACCCTACAAGGCAACAGGGCACAGGGCAGGTATTACTAGGTTACATGATACCAGTAGCAGGGTGATGGTGATAATCCTAAACCTGACCTGATTTGGAAATATATCAAGAAAACATGGAATATATAAAAAACTATAAAATGTTACACCAAAATGAATGAATGTAATAAATGAATGATTTTGATGTGACTTTTGAATTCAGTAGCATAAAATTTATAAACAAAGATTGAAAAATCTAAGTGGACAACGCCTTTGTTACATTGTGTATTTTTTTTATGGATTTTCAAATAATTTTCACCAAGCAAATTTGCAATTATAATATATTACAATATAAAATTATTATATAAAATAAAATAATTTTATACTACTATATTTTTATACTTAATAAATATAAAATAATCCACTTAATAACAACACCCCTAACTTTTTAGAACTTCTGTAAAATGTGCAACTACTTTTATTATTTTTTTAGCACCAAATGCACTATGAGGATTTAAAGACTAAAAAGATACCTCCAACAGAAAAATTAAATTATGGAATAAGACAGATAGCAGATAGCAGATACCTTAATATCTTTGAACCTTCAGATAGCAGATACCTTATTATCTTTGAAATGCAAATCCATACTAATTCTATTCATGCTATTCAATGTATCAGTATAAATAAGAACGTTAGTTTTATTAAAATTTTAGATTAAATACTTTAGATTAAATTTTAGATTAAATACTTTGATAAATAAAAATCTTTTTCAAATAAATTTTTGTTGTTAAAACAGTTCGCTCCATTGTAATTTTGATGATTTACTTAAAAGAGCTTTTTATTTTTTCATTATCCAATTAAATTGATGCGTATTGCAGACAGCATTAACTATTGTGAGGTCTTAGACATGCAAGAACATTTGAATATGCAGATAAATGGATTAAAACAATGCTTTTTTCCAAACTTGTAGAAACCTATTTAATTCAGCTCATTTTAATGGCTGAGAATTTGTTTGGCTCTTTAAGACACTCTATATGAGAAATTAAATCAACATAATTTGTTAAGGAACAGAATTTTCATAAACCTTTCGACAATTGTTCATAAAGGCAATGTAACTTTAGTATGTTGAATTTTTAAAAGCATCTATACTGCAAGCTCAAGACAGTTGAAATAATATACTACTTAACACTATGGTTTTTAGTAAAGCTCCTAAACCAAAGTGAACACCAATATTTAACCCTAATTATTTTTAGTTATGTCGGTTATCCTAACTCTTGCAAATTCTTGTTTAAGGCAGATGTGTAAGTCACAGGGATATTTTTTTGTCAGAGCTTTCAATCCATACAAGTTTAACGCTTGTACTTCCCTTAAATCAAATACAAGTCACAATCTTATTCATCTAATTTTCAAAATTTTCCAATATCAATGTTTTTACAATATGTTCTTTGTTGGTTCCACGCCCAATACCTCAGATAATCAATAAGATGTGCCTCCTTATGTCAAATATTATTACAATGACTTCTTATATGGTCTTTTTTAATTGACCAAGTTCCAGCGTGAATCAACAAAACAGAAAATGTTTTAATGTTTTAATGTTTTTTATACAAGATGTATATTGTTTGCAAAATGAGCAGCACTTCATTTCCTTCATTATTTATTTAATTAACTTTAATTAACATTATTTAATTAACTTTAAAGTAATATAGTTTCAAATAAACAACCTAAAGATTTATCTAGCTAAAGATTTTTCTACCTTAAAATTTATCTACTTAAAGATTTATCAAGCTAAAGCGTTTTAAAATCTTAAACTAGAAAAAATATATTTTTTATTCTTCTATTTGTAAATTTAAAACATTCTCAAACTTTCATAAAACTTAAAATAACAGCTAGTAGTAAATTTTAGAATTTAATTTTTAATTATACTTAAATTTGTTATAGTTATTATTAATTTATGTAATCTTATACTTTGCATAAACTTAAAGTAATTTTATAGCTAAACTTTCTTTCCTGAATGATAAAACAAATTGTAAACACAAATGAAAAAACATTTAAACATGTGTAAAAAAATCATTTTTATTAAATCTTTATTATCAAGTCAGAGATTTAAAAAAACAAATTTTAATCAATCAAACAAAAAGTAAACTTGCAAATAAATACTAAGCATGATAAGTTAAGTTATCAATTTTAATTTGTTCTCAAATAAGATTTCAACAAATTGATTTTATACACTTTATTAGATATTTTATAAACCTTAAAACAACATATAACTAATATACAGCATCAATTTTATGTATACAAAAACAAACAGCACCATCCTAACCTGTGCATAAAATAATTTATACTCTTCAACTTCAGGGAATGATTTTGTTAACTCGGAATAACTAAAATATTTAAATATATAATTATTTAACTTATAAATTTATGGTAATTTCCTCAGAAAGTAAAAAGTTTAAAAATTTATTTTAAATAAAACTTAAAATAAATTTTAAAATAAATATACACACTCAAATACCAACCCAAGAACCCACCCATCCTCACACACACCCACTTATTCACTACATACACACAGATATATATATATATATATATATATATATATATATATATATATATATATATATATATATATATATATATATATATATATATATTTACAATTTTTTTTCTTTTGTATAAATTTGTATTTTTTGCATTTGTATAAATGAATTAAAATATGTTACATTATAGAAAATTAAATGGATTAAAAAACAATTGTACTCCATAATTTATTTAAAACTAATGTTTTTAATATATCATTAAAAAAATTAAAAAATGACCCAAATTCTTTAAAAATTTTTGCATAACTCAATTTGAAAATATGTATCGTAAAATGTGCATTTTTTAAAAATAGAGCAAACTTATAAAGTTCATTCGAACTAACGTCTTTATTTTAAAGTTCATTCAAATTAATGTTTCATTGTAAAGTTCATTCAAATTAATGTTTCATTTAATTAGAATTAATAAAAAGCCTTTTTTTTATAAATAGACCTCCACAGTTCCAATAATATTGTGTGCCACAGTTCCAATAATATTGTGACCTCCACAGTTCCAATAATATTGTGTGCATACATATTTAATAGTACATCATGGTTCCTTATGTGCAAAATCGCATCAAAGAAAGTAAATACACAGATATATTATGAAAGCATTCTTGAAAGAAACAGTTGTTTATATGTGATTTTTTTTCTTTTTTACATAATAAAGACATTAAATTTGCTTCATTTAAGTTTGTTTTAACTATTTCTAATTATCATTTTGCAATCTTTTTTCCCGAAAGCTCATTTTTATTATTCAATATTAAATACAATTTAAAACTTTTACACTCAATGTACAAACTAGTTTTGTTGTTTTTTTCCTTGATTATAAATATTATATAACAAAAACATATAAACAGTAAATTTTAGATTTAAAATGGTTAAAATTAACTTATATAAAGCTAAATAAATGATTTTTTATAAAAAAATATAAAAAATCATAAGCAAACATCTGTTTCTTTAAAGGTTACTGTTTTAATTTATATGTGTATATTATGTTATATACAACTTTTTTTTTTTTTAAACATCTTTGCTTCCAACAAGGCTGCAAGCAACCATTAATTAGTGTTGACAGTTACTAGAAGAGAAAAAATGAAGATTGTAGAGCAAGATAACGATTGACAGACGATTTAAAAGATTGCAAATTATATGAATCAGGAAAGCAAGATGAAGGAAGCGAATTCCAAAATACTGATGACGCAACATTACCACGATGTGACAAAGGTTGAAGGTTGGCTGCAAGAGCAGGTCTTACTATGTTTACAATGCGTTTTTGCACCTTGTCTATATGAGAAAGGGCATCATTAGAAGATCCGCCCCAGATATGGCAACAGTATTCCATACAAGGCCGAATTTGAGATTTGTAGAGATAGAGAATAGAATCCAGAGTAAGAAAGTGTCGAGCTTGATAAAGAGAAGCAACTTTAGCAGATGCTAATTTTGCAACAGATTTGTTATAAGGTTTCTAAGAAATTTCAGAAGTAAGAGTTAACCCTAGAAGATGAAGGGTAGATGACTCATCGAGTACATTACCATTCATAAATATAGGAAGGTCTAAATTATTGCGATAACAATATTGGCTGAAAAAAATTGAGTTTTATCTGAATTAAAGTTCACCAGCCACTGTGAGCCCCATGCTGTAGCAGAAGTGAGATCCTTTTCAAGCTCAGATGCCCCCTGCAAGCAATCAACGGGAGTTGGCTTCTTATCATGATAAGAGTAAATGGTAGTATCATCAGCGAACAATGCCACCTTAGGTGTGAGAATATCTGGAAGATCGTTAATGTAAATTGAAAAAAGTATAGGGCCAAGGATTGAAACTTGAGGAACCCCTGAGGTTACAGAATAAGAAGAAGAGTGCTGTCCATCAAGGACAACTTTTATACTACGATTGGAAAGGAAGGATTCAATAATCTTAAAGATGTTTCCAGATACACCATAAGAAGAAAGCTTACGGAGAAGACCAGTATGCCAAACTTTATCAAACGCTTTAGAAATGTCAAAAGCGATGGCCTTAGCCTCTCCAACTTTATCTAATGCGCGATAAAATCTATCCGTTATTACTGATAGCAAATCAGCCATAGAACGAGAGGATTGAAATCCATATTGATGATCGGAAAGTAGGTTATAAGATTCGAGATGAGAGAATAAATGTGTTTGTTAATTAAAGATTCAAAAACCTTGCTTATTATAGGAAGAAGACTAATGGGACTGTAGTTGGACGAATCGGATCGCTATCCAGAATTTTTAAAAAAAGGGATAACAGATGCTGCTTTCCAGCAGGCTGGAAAACAAGACTCTGATAAGCACTTGTTAAATAGTGATGAAATATGAGATTTCATGGTCTGAGAATAGCGGGCTTTGGCGTTAGACAAAACCTTTTTACAATGGTTCCTAGCAGTAATAAACAGACATCTGTTTTCTGGAGAATTGTTTTGCTGATAGATATGGAAGTAATGGTTTCGATTGGCAATTGCAGCAGTTCGTGGATTCAATGCCAGCCTGAATCCACAAAGTTATTTAAGAAGCACATTTATCAACAGGAAGACGAAAGATTTCTACCCAGAAGCCATCACGAAGAAAATCACGAAAAGAGTCCCAGTCAGCTTTAAGGTAGTTGTAAGATGTACAATGATAGGGGGATTCTGATGGTTAAGAAGAATGAGATAATAGTTTTAGAGAGACCAAACCATGATCAGAAGCACCTAAGGGTGAGTGTGGAGAAACTGAGCACTGACTAGGATCAGAAACAAGACATAAGTTGAGTAGAGAAGGTAAATGATTCAGGTTGTCTGGAAAGAGAGTTGGAAAGTTGACTATTTGAGTTAGGGATTGAGAATGGCAAAAGTTGTGGGCCATAATGCCTGCAGAGTCACTGACACTAGAGCCAAGCCATTCAGTGTGATGAACATTAAAGTCACCGACAACAACAATATTGGCTGATGGATAAAGAATCAGGGCTTGGTCAATATAATCAGAAATAACATCAAGAAGAGTGCAGTCTTGAGATAAAGGAGAGCGATATAGAACAAAGAGAAAGGTGATAGAGTGAAGTGGTGCTAAACGAAAGCACATAAAAGAGTAGTCTGTGGATTCAAACCTAGTTTCCCGACAAATGGGTGAATTCTTACGAATGTAAATGCCCAGGCCAAGCATGTGACTATTGGAGTCTTTAAGAATTAAAGGAAGATAACCATCAACACTAAGATCACAAGATGAGACAGAAGAACTCAAATTAGTCTCACAAAGAGCAAGTAGGTCTGGTGAACTTTGCAAGAGATAAGACTCAACAGTGAATGATAGGATTAGCGAACTTATATATATATATATATATTATATATATATATATATATATATATATATATATATATATATATATATATATATATATATATATATATATATATATATATATATATATATATATATATATATATATATATATATTACATTATATTTATATATTACCTTTATTTATTTGTTAATAATAATGAAAGTAAATAAAGTTAATATACTAATATAATGTAACATACATACATATATATATATATATATATATATATATATATATATATATATATATATAAGTATATATATATATATATATATATATATATATATATATCACATTATATTTATATATTAGCTTTATTTATTTTCATTATTAAACTTAATGCAATTACATAGTGAAGTTTTTATTTATGCTTAAAAGAAAATATAATTTTGTTTGGAATTTAAATAATCAAGAAAAATGACTTAATCTATTTGATTAGAAAGTCACAAAAAAAAAAAGAAATTTGTCTCATGGGACAAACTATCTAAAACTTTTCTCAACAGTGATTAGTGAGCAATTCAACCTGATAAAAAAATCACACATTTTTCAATAACAAAAAGTTATTATTGAATTCAAGGAAAATTTTCTTTAATGGTTTTAATATTTCAGATTTTGCTAAAAATGAGTTTTATCTAGTTTATATATATATATATATATATATATATATATATATATATATATATATATATATATATATATATATATATATATATATATATATATATATATATATATATATATATATATATATATGTATATATATATATATATATATATATATATATATATATATATATATATATATATATATATATATATATATATATATATATATATATATATATATATATATATATATATATATATATATATATATATATATATATATATATATATATATATATATATATTATTTTAAAACATCAAAAATACGATTTCTCTCAACACTTATAATTTTTTTATTATTGTAGAAATTTTCGCTGGACTTTAGATACCAGCTTCTTCAGCTTGTTAAATGTTACAGTAATTAATAAAATCGTTATAATTTAAATTAAAACGTTGCTATTGACGCCAGCAGTTGAATGGCTTCTTTTTCGCTGAAATTTAAAAAATGGCGCCCAAAACTTAGTTTTTACGTATTGACCCTCATCGAGATTAATCCCGCCATTTTTTGCAGAACACATGTTTTTTTGTATTGATGCTGCTTATTTTCATCAATGCTTTTTTGGTGTTGATGCATTCGTGTGTTTACTTTCATTTTTGTTTCACCTACATACACTTTTGAACAGTTGCATTTGATTATATATGTTCCCGGTTGACTGTTATTAGGTAGTTTTGATTTATTTTTTGATGTTAACAGGGATCTTAAGTTTGGGTTTGATTTGAATACCGCTCTGTAACCAGCTTTTCGGAATATTTTCCTAAGTTTTGGCGAGAGACCGGGTACCCATGGTAAGGAAACTACAGGATAATTATTGATTTCAGATGGAATTGTAATTTTATTTTGCCTTTTGTGTTGAAACTGATGCGCAATATTCATCATTTGAGTTTTATCGTAACCATTTTCAATAAACACGTCGATTAGAAAATTTATTTCATTTTGCAAGTAAGACTTACTACAGATTTAGTAAGCTTGGTGGAGAAATCCTTTAAAAATAGAGTTCAAGATATTTGGATCATGATTTGAGTGTGGCTTAATTTGAATGTTAGTGATAGCATCTTTCCAATATACTCCGTATTCATACTTTCCTTTTTTTTATTCATAATTTGTATATCCAGATAATTTAGTGTTCCTAACTCGTTTTCAACTTCAATTGTATACTGGATGGAAGGATGTTATTGATTTAAAATGTATTGGAAATGTTTTGCTTGGTTGAGATCTGGAAACCTTGCGTGACTATCATCGACATATCTTAAGAACGATTTGAGGTTAAGTGCAGGGTTGAAATTTAGTGCAACTTTAATTGCATTGTTTTCATGGAATTGTAGAAATGATTCTGCAAGAACGACCATGAACGAAAGTCCAATTGGACCCGAGTTTTCCATTATATGAATTTCATTGTGCCAATGAAAATAACATTGAAATAAACAAAGTTCTATAAGTTGTTTTATGAAAATATTCCGAAAAGCTGGTTACAGAGTGGTATTCAAATCAAACCCAAACTTAAGATCCCTGTTAACATCAAAAAATAAATCAAAACTACCTAATAACAGTCAACCGGGAACATATATAATCAAATGCAACTGTTCAAAAGTGTATGTAGGCGAAACAAAAATGAAAGTAAACACACGAATGCATCAACACCAAAAAAGCATTGATGAAAATAAGCAGCATCAATCCGCATTAGCTCTGCATAAAACATTTTGCAAAAAAGAAATTATTTGGGAACAAACAAAAACATTGAAAGTAGAAAATAAAAAATTTGAAAGAAAAGTTAGGGAAGCCCTAGAAATACAAAAAAACATGTGTTCTGCAAAAAATGGCGGGATTAATCTCGATGAGGGTCAATACGTAAAAACTAAGTTTTAGACGCCATTTTTTAAATTTCAGCGAAAAAGAAGCCATTCAACCGCTGACGTCAATAGCAACGTTTTAATTTAAATTATAACGATTTTATTAATTACTGTAACATTTAACAAGCTGAAGAAGCTGGTATCTAAAATCCAGCAAAAATTTCTATAATAATAAAAAAATTATAAGTGTTGAGAGAAATCGTATTTTTGATGTTTTAAAATAATATATAAATATACTCGCACACAAGATGTTATCCTTTAAATCATATATATATATATATATATATATATATATATATATATATATATATATATATATATATATATATATATATATATATATATATATATATATATATATATATATATATATATATGTACATATATATATATATATATATATATATATATATATATATATATATATAATATATATATATATATATATACATATATATATATATATATATATATATATATACATATATAATATATGTATATATATATATATAATATATATATATATATATAATATATGTATATATATATATATATATATATAAAATATATATATATAATATATGTATATATATATATATATATATATATATATATATATGTATATACATATATATATATATATACATATATATATATATATATATATATATATATATATATATATATATATATATATATATATATATATACATATATATATATATATATATTAAATGGCAAAACTCTGACTTAAATAAGCAAGTTTTTTGTTTATTTAAAAATGGACTTTATTTTTTAATTAAGTTTGTAAGTATAATTGCATTAGATTTATATTTCCTAAGGACATTACACATAAAGATAAAATATATACATAATTTAACTTGATTTAGGCCCAGAAAAAACCAAGTAGCAAAGTGGCTCTGATTAAGACTAAAAAAGGTATGGGAACATGAAATCAAGAAGACAGTAAAAACTGTAAAAAAAATAAAAATAAAAACATTAAATTTCTACAAAGTTATTACATAATTACCATTCAGAGGCATTATAAAAATCTTGTATTTGGTAGTAACAGTAGCCTAGAAGAGAAAGGGCTGGTCGAGACTAAATGAATGAATAAAATCAAAATTTGAATTTTATAAAGCATAAATTTTATAAAAAATTAAAATCTATAAAAATCTAAAACAACAAATGCACTAATACTAATGTAACAAAACCTTAGGATGTTTTTCAAGCTCTCTTGAAAGTATATGGATGGCATCAGCAAATTTTTGTTGTTTTATCTAAATATATAAACAGCAAGAAGTAAACATTCAAGTTAGTTATTTAAAAATGCATAATTTCAAGTTTCAATTTCTTAACACTTTACTGTTGCTATGCAAAATAATGTCATGGAAAAAAATTGACAACATAAAAAATAAAAACAGACTATGTAGAAACACTCTCTGGTGAAGCTAATTTTATCAAACATTTTAATAAACACATCATTGAACTTAGTTAGCTCAGAGAAAAGTAGCTCATACTAAGAAAATAGGGAGTAAATTTTTTTTTTTTTTTTTTTTTAATGTTAATAGCTGTTGGAAGCAACTGTGTTGTAGGCAATCTTGAAAGATTTGGAAACAACTGTATTTTAGGCAATCTTGAAAGATTTGGAAGCAACTGTATTGTAGGCAATCTTGAAAAATTTGGAAGCAGCTGTATTGTAGGCAATCTTGAAAACAACTGTAGACAAAAGTTGTTTGATGACGTAAAACTATGCTAAAACTAACCCAACAACTACAGTTAAAAAATAGTGCTACAAAAACAAGAATATAAAAAAATCTCTTTATCATCATATTGTAAAACATTATAACAAGAGTAAGAGTGAGGTTGACCTTGCTTACATCCATTTATTTAACTTACATCCATTTATTTAACCGTAAAACTGAAATAATTACAAAGTGATTTATAATCTCAGAAAATTAGGTTCGATGTCACTCATATAGTTAAAAACTAGTCATTGGAGTGACACCTAAATAAAATAAACAAATAAAGCAAAAAAAAGTATTATTGATAGCAACCAAAATAAAATTAAACAAAAGAAAAAATATATATATATATATATAACACAACGTTTGACGATCAGATGGATAATAAAAATAATGAAGAAAATTTAAAAAAAAATGGATACTTTTAAATATTATGATGAGACAAAAAATAAGAGATAACTTAAATAATACCAACAAACATAAAAAGTAACAATAATAAAAATAACTAGCAACAATTCTATTCTAAACAATTTTTTATTTGTTTTTCTTATGCTCTTTAATCTATTTTTCACCTTTCAATGCTAAAAATATGCTTCCTTTATTTGCGATGTCATTGCAAGGTAATGTGTTTAACTGATATATCATTTCTCTTTCAAGAGCAAATATTAATACATGCATATTCTGGCATCTTATAAACCTTGTTAAAGTTGATGAATAGGTTCTCTACCACAGTATTTGCAACACCAAGATAAATACACATCAAAAAAGTTTCTTGAGTTGCTATTTTGATGTGTATTTTAAATACAAATTAAAAAGCAACTCAAGAAGACTTCTCAAAGGAATCCCAAACCTCCAAGACATGCTGTGTTCACATATACGAGAATGATAAAAAAAAAATGATATAGCTAAATTTTTTTATTAAAATAAAAGAATAAAAACATACCAAGAAAAACAAACTTTTTTTATTTAGTCAAAGCTTGCCTCTCCGTTTTGTTGTAGGCCAAAAAATCAGCATAATATATGGCGTAATCAGATTAACAGAGTTGACAATTTATTCAAAGCCATTTTATTCCTAAAAGCTTCAGTACATGGCATCATTGATTTTTTTTGTTTATCTAAAAGATCAATTATGTAAACAAACAAAAAAATCAATGACGTCATGTACTTAAACTCTTAGGAATAAAAAATCAAGTCTGTAGATTGCAGTGAATATTATGCTGACTTTTTGGTCTACAACAAAATGGAGAAGGCGTGCTTCAACTAAAATAAAAAAATAATTTTTCTTAGTGTGTATTTATTCTATTGTTTTAATCAAAAAATTCTGCCCAAACATTTTTTCATCATTCTCTTCAATATGAACACAACATGTCTTGGAGGTTTGGGATCCTTTTAACACATTTAACAATTCCACAAAAATCTTCAATGGATAATTTGTGGCAGGAATGATGGATTTACTTTTTCTGGTACTAGTACACTCTTTCATGTTTGTAGCCAATCTGTGAATGATTGAGCATTGTATGATTAAGATAAGTAAAGCCAAAATATATATTTACTATTACTGTAATGTTCCTAAATATATGGAACTACTTGATTATACATTTATCAAGGCACACTTCTTTTTTAATAACCAATCTACTTGGTCTAGCCTAGATTTTGCTCATACTTTTTGATAAAGTAAAAAGTCAAACAAGAATTTTCAACACATATTTTGTATAAATACATATATAAATTAATAAATATCAAAAAGTGTTAGATTATTCTAAAAATTTATGTAAATTTTTGCAGTGACTTCAAAAAAGCATTCAATTAATTTTTTTAATTGTGTATGGCATATTTAAATAATTAATTGAACTTGTGTATGACAAAAAGTGAACTTTTTGCACCAATAAAAACATGTTGTTTTACAAAAAATTAATTTTATCATAAATTTTAAAATTACTTTAAAATGATAAATGACATTTTGCATTTTTAAGTAATTAAATAGTCATTAAAAATAATATCTGGTTTAAAAAGCGAACACTGCTACCTTATGGAATGTTTTCGTTATTTAACAGCTTGGTATTATTCAATACATTTTATATTGTTAACGTTATTCAAAGATTGTGGTTATTGCATTTTTAAAAATAACACATAAAAATTAAAATAAATAAATAAATTGTTATAAACAAACTAAAGATTATGTTAAGTATAAGATTTTTTAAAGAAATAATTTATAAGGAAATATAATTTTTTTTCAAATACCAAATGGAATATTAATTATAGAATCTAACAGATTCTATCAATAATATTTATATTAGTTTAGATGATTTTTAACGAGGTTTAAAATTAAATTTGATTACAACGTGGTACTTTAAAATAAATTCAAATTATCAATAGCTTTTAGGCTCTTGCAACAAATAAGATCTTAATAATTACAACACATTAAAAGCAAAGAGTTTTTAAAAATTTGTAAATTGCTTTTTTATATTTTTCAACACTTTGTTGTTGTAAAAAATAGTGCCTAATTTTTTTATAAAACAAGCACTCAATTCAAGTGAAAAAACTAATGGCATATATGGATGGTTAAGCACCAAACCTGCCTATATAACAAAGTTGAAAAAAAAGATTTATGTTATATATTTTTGCTAACACCAAGTGGCTTTTGTTAAAGATTTTTAAACTTTGCATCTAATTATCTCGTTTCAACATTTTCTTTGTATAGTCAGGTTTAATGCTTAACCATCCATATATCAGCATGTGCTTATCTGAAAATATTAAAAGTGAATGTTGTCAATAGTTTACAATACTACTTTTATTTATGCGAGTTGTTTCTATTCTACACATAGCCTTATAAGGAAAAATGACTAGAATATGTGAGAACTCCAATGAACACAAAAACTTTTATTAAAATTAGTGACAGGCAACTCAAAACATCGAGGGGTGACTGTAATTAACAAACTGCTTACTTTTAGTCGCCCTTCTGGCGACTGACTAAAAGTTCAAGTATACACCCCATTAAAATTATAATCAAACTATTATAAAAAATTATAATCACCCCATTAATATTATATCAAGTGTACACCACATTAAAATTATACAAATTTATTATACAAACAGATAGTAGACTATATTTTGCTTTCCTCTTTAAAAAAAAAAAAAATTTGAGAAAACTCGACTTGAAATTTTTTTTTATTTCATTGTCTTATTCAATTTTGTTGCTAAAAATAACAACCACCTTAAAGAAACAAAAATAAAAACAGAACAAATTATTTTAATTATTAGTTTGTTTGTTTTTTTCAATTTAGTTTAATTTCTTATTTTGTTAGTTTTGTTTTCTTTATTTTCAAAACTTTATTTTTTCAACAAAGTATTGAAACACTTGATATGATAAAACTCGCAAATGGTTGTGACCAAGTTATCTGAATAAAAAACTTTTTCATGGACAAACAAGACAAAAAACCTACTAACAATTACATTCACATCATAGATTAGGTATTGTATTTGTTGTGGTGGATAGAGTTACATTAAATTACTGCCTATAGGAATTGGCACATAAAAAAAACATTCATTAAACATTTAATAAGCGTACCAAATATTGATAAAACATTTATATGGTGTCTTTTTTACATCCTATATCAATTGGATATTTATTAAACAGTTGCATAGCCAGTTTTTTTTATTATTATTATTGAATTTAATTAAATAGGTTACTAAGTTGACTAATTTGACTGGGCGATAAGATTCATAATTAGGATAGTATTTTTAATAGGATAAAATAGTACTCAACCAACTTAATAAAGCTCTAGTTTGTTAAAATTTCATGTTAGAAGGCAATTAACTTTTACAAGACTAAATTTTGCTTTAGTCAACTTATTTTAGTAAGCCTAAAAATTTAGCAAACTAATTTTAGTTGTCCTAAGAAATAAGCATTCTAATTTTAGTGTGATTAAAAAGTTAGTCAACTAATCTTATTTAGACTAAAAAGTTAGCCAACTCACTTTAGTTAGACTTAAAAGCTAACTGACTAATTTTTATTCATACTAAAAAGTTAACCAATTAAGTTTAGTTATCTTAAAAACTAGAATCTGACTAAATCAATTAAATTAATTATTATTTTTATTAATTAAATTAATTAATAAAAATAATAATGAATTTTAATAAGTAAATAAAACAAAATAAGTTTACAAAATATATTTAAAAAATAGATATTGCAAAACTTATAACTTACTAAACCATATATGGTCATGGTGTATTCTCCTTCCTTCATTACAATATGAACCATGTTAATTTTAAATATCCTAAATAGATAAATATGTACTTGCTTAAATTTTAAACATATATAATTAAATCTATTTACTATTTGTATATTAACATATAATAATAATAAGTTTATCTATATATATATATATTCTCAAATATATATATATATATATATATATATATATATATATATATATATATATATAAATATATATATATATATAAATATATATATATATATATAAATATATATATATATATATATATATATATATATATATATATATATATATATATATATATATATATATATATATATATATAATACTTTATAATATTATAAGTACAAATTTGACAAAAGTATAAAAGTTTTTCTTTATAAATATTTTCCTTACATATGTATAAAAAAGTAGAGAGCTTTTCTTGATTATCTTATTATCTTATCTCATTATTGACTAAAAAATGATAACAATCAAGAAAAACATATTATATATTGTCAATTATTTCAACAAAAACTTACTATGTGCATAAGTTTTAAATAAGAATATATATATATATATATTATATATATATATATATATATATATATATATATATATATATATATATATATATATATATATATATTCCATAAAATGGTTCAAATAAACTTGGTTTTACCTATATCATATAGGTAAAAAAAGACATTACAAACTTTTCAGGAAATTAGTATGTTTTTACTAGATGGCCATTCAAATTTGAAACTAAATTTCAATTACTTTTCCATGGCTTTTTCACGACTCTATAAAATTTCATGATAAATTACTATGGTAATAATATCCATGCACTTAGTCATTGCCACTTAAGTACTAAAAAACATGCAGACCAAAAAATAATTGCTCAAAATTTCTAAAATTATTTCTGAAAAAATATTTTCAAATCTTTTTTTTTTCAAATCTCAACAAGCTCTTAGATTAGACGTGACTTTCCATGACCAAATGAAATTTCAATACATTTCTATGATTTTAATTCACTACTTTTGCCAGCACACAAAAATTTACTATTTCTACTTACTCTTTTCATCAACAGTGACTTATATTAAATATATATTATGTCTTATTATGTCTTATATTAAACAGTTAGGCAGTACTAAAACATCAAGTTTAACAACAATTAAAATCAAAATTAAAGATTTGGATTTGTAAATTACTAGTTTTAAGTATAAAATTAAAACTGAAAATATTACATCTCAAAAATATAGCATTTTAAAATTGGATATTTATTGATTTTAATGTATGATCCTATTTTAAAGTTTTACAACTGTTTTGTTTTGAAAAAGAGATTTGTTTAAACCCACACCTGACTAAGAAATTGAACTAAATCAGGACACACATAAGATTAAGATAACACGAAATAATAGAAATTATATTATTATAAATACTCTTAATATTAAATGTACTAAATAGTTAAAGTGAAACATATCGATAAAACTGATCTTTGTTGATAACAGTTTGTTTACAAAAGTCTACCATTTTTGTTTCCATTTGAAAAAAAAAATACTAAAGTATTTGCTAAATCATAAGAACTACAGTCTCGATGTATGTTTTTTGCATACGGTGTAGTTAAGGTGATTTTAAAATAAAATCGGGTGATAATATAGTTATACAATATGTAATGAAACACAGGGCCGACCTGAAGAGAATTTAAAGGGGGGTTTGTGTCTGTTTTTTGCTGACTAAAGCCAAACAAACCTTTTTTACAGACTAACTTAACTAACGTTTTCGACTGCCACCTAAAAATATCCAATTTTGTCGACTCCAGTTCCAATTTGCCGACTGATAAAATTCGTAAGGGACTAGACACACCCCTAAGCCCCCCTCGGGACAGCTCTGATGATACGACATGAATATTTATGTAATAAGTGCTATTTCTTTTTGTATTATAATTCATATTGTTATTGAAAAAGCATCTGTTGACAAGATAATTGAGAGTTTCTCTCGGATACCGTTGTTTGTATTATACGAACACAAAAGATTAAAAGAAAAAGAAGAAAAAAAAAACTTTTTTATGTAACTCTTAAGAAAGTGTCTCGTCGGAAAACAAAACTTTTTTATTTTCCGACGAGAAAACCATTTGTCGTTCTTTTCGCGTATTTTTTGCTAAATATACTTCTTCTTCATAATATTTTCTCGCATTAACACAACTGATTAAGATGTCCGTCAAATATAAGATGCTGTTGAATGTGATTAAGTAGTATAAAAAAATGTGTACAAAAAAAACTTTTTTGCACATGTTCACATTAGTTTGCACACTACTGTAAGATTACCTGATGTCCGGGTTTTATGGTGAAAAATACAGTACCGAACCTATACAATTTAAAATTTTCATTGCGTTCTCCTTTGTAAAACCCAGTCATGTGGTAGCTCTAATCAATGATCTGGTCTCAGAAATAAATCAAAACAAGAGTTTGTAAAGTTATTTCTGAATTAGAAATAGTTACTGATATTTATTCTTTACGATTTTGTTCAATACAAAGTTATTGTTTGTACGTTTTTTTAATAAAGCAAATTATGTGACTTTCAATTTGAATTTCAACCAAGTTCTAGGTAAGGCTGCCAAGCCTTACCTAGAAAACAATCTAAATACTAATTAATACAAATTCTATATGGTGTTCTTTCAATCTTTTAAGACTAGCATAAGATCTAAAGAACACCATCAAGATCTTAAAGAACACCATCAAGATCTTAAAGAAAATAAAAGATCTGAAGAACATCAGTAGAATTTTTTAGACTTCTATGTTTTTTCTTTTGTTTCATATCAAAATAAAGTAAAATATAACTATATATAACCAATAATTAAAAATGAAATTTCATTTGGTTATGGAAAAGTGATAGAATTCCTGATATTTCATTAAATGTTATGGAAAATTCATGGAACTTTTAAAAATAGTTTTTACTTTTTTCTAAAAAAAAAAGTTTAACAAATGAGGTTTCAAACAAATGATTATTTTTCAGAATTTAAAAGTATTTTTTCCAACTGAGTTTCTGTGTTCTATAACAAAAAAAATATATATAAAAGCCTATATAAAAAATATATATAAAAGCCTATATAAAAGCCTAAAATATCTGCTAACAAACTAATTTTTTAGTCTATTTTACAATAGTATTGTTTCATTCTGCTAGCTCAATATCTTTTACCAATCATTGTCTTAAATATATTTACTGCGTTATTAATAGCTCTAAGCTTTGGTTTGCCAGTATCGTATGTGGCCCTTACACCATTGTAAGGCTTTAGAATTTATTTATTTATTTAAAACGAAGGACCTGCCAGTTATAAACTGAATGTGATTCGATATATATATATTTTTGTATATATTGTTTTCTTTCAAAATAATTCAAAATTCAAATAAAAATTCTGTTTCAAAATTCAAGAAAATTGTAGGTAACTTTAAGAGAATATATATTTTCAATCAAAGAATGATAAAGACATTGAAATTCTTAATATTGTTAAATGGTCTAGATTTTTAAATTTATGGTGCTAATTTAGTTTAATAAATTTTAAAATTTTAAAAGTGACAGAGAAGATCTGCTATATTAAAATCCGTAAGTACTAAATAACGTTTTAATTTAGATTTGAATTGCGGAAATGTTTTTTCTTTAATATTAACAATATGCTGAAAGTTTTTCCACAAAATTGGACCCCGGTATTGAATAGAATAAGAACATAACTTTAGATTATACTATTGAGTTACAAAGTTATTTTCTGAGAACTTGGTGGGGTATTTATGGCTTACTTCTTTAAAATAAGGATAGAATATCGTTGGAGACAGTCCTTGTTTTATTTGATACATGAACTGTATGACAAGGAATATGTTGATTTTAAACACATTTAATGCATTGAGTTTACGTAGAAGTGGCTCACAAGGCTCAGTTCTTTTTACTCCAAATACAATTCTACATGCATGTTTTTGTTTAGTATAAATTTTCTTTAACTTAGCGTAGCTGTTGCTTGCCCATACGATATTGCCGTAAGTTAGATAGCTATGTATAAAGGAAAAATATAAACTTTTTAGAGATTTTATATCCAAAAATAGTTTTGCTTTATACATCATTGCAATGTTTATTGAAAGTTTTCTTTCAAGAGTGCTTGTATGTTTCCTCCATGTTAAATTTTCGTCTAAAATAATACCTAAAGAGTTTACAGTTGTTTGCCTAGTAATATTTATATTATTGATTTTAAGATTGGGTAATTTTAAAGGAAGGTTTCCTGTTTTGGTTGTTTTGTGAAATAGAATAAACTGTTTTTTTGTTAACGTTAAGTGAAAGTTTATTACAAATAAACCATTCGTTTACTTTGTTTACTTTTTCATTAACTACTTTAAAGAGGGTTTTAATATCCCTATGAGAATAAAACAGATTGGAGTCATCCGCAAACAAAATAAAGTTTAGTATGTTCGAGGTAAGAGATAGATCATTTATATAAAGAGAAAATAGAAACGGTCTTAAGATACTTTTTGTCGTTTTAACATTTTCATATTGAATGTATTGCTGTCTGTTTGATAAGTATTCTTTAAACCATAGTAAATTATTGTTTTTTATTCCATAATGTTCAAGTTTTTTTAAAAGAATGACATGGTTGACTGTGTCAAAGGCTTTAGACAGATCAATAAATACTCCTAATGTAAAACGGTCATCATTAAAGCCATTGGTTAGATGAGTTACTAACTCGGTCAAAGCGTGATCAGTTGAATAATTTTTTTTAAAGCCAAATTGCTTGTTGTACATTATAAGACAGCAATCAATGTTATATTTTAAAAGGTGTTGAAATTTTTGTAAGGAGTATTTATTGATCTGCCGCCTGTATATTATAAATTTAGAAGAAATAATATTAATTGTTAAATCCATTACATTGATTTCCGCGATATCCATAACAATTTTGGGAGAGGGGTATTAACCTTTTATCTTGATTCCATGCTCTTTTTGTACTTTCAAGATGATTCGAATTATAACTCTTTAGGGTACCAAACTGCTTTAATGTAGCAGATCCCTACAAAAATCAAAAAAT